CCACAAACGTGACCACCAGGCCTGTGTAATTACTTCGATATGTACTGACCATATGCTCTGGAAGAGAGGCGACGCAACATACTGCCATTGACCTGGGGAGTCAGATTGTTGGAAGCACGGTAGTTCGTGCGAATGACAATTGTTGGCGAAATGTAAACCTAGCGTGAACGGATTGATGAGTGTTTCCGTAACGAAACCGTTCTCTTCACTGCCTAACCCAGCTGCGTTCTGTGGTACGCCGAGCCAGATATACACTGACGAGCAAGACGAATATATATCGCCCATCATAGCCACTTGCCATGTCTTCTCAGCTTCGTCCCTTTGATTGATACACATTGAATCTGCCCAGATCGTGAGTGATATGTCGGCTCTTCGTAAGTGTCGGAATGCGTTTTCGAGATTGGCTGGGATCTTGATACTGGTTCCGTTGACTAAAATCGTCTTGGTATCTCCTGGTCGTCCCCAGGCATATGATATGGTTTCATATGAGGGGTTGTCTTTCAACGAAACCTTCTTTAGGGTGCATTGTATCTCAGCTGATGGTAGGCCTGGGAGAAGCTCGATGAGTCGAATTTCCCGTTCGCTTGGTGCGAGAGCTGTGTCGGCGTAGTACCATCTTTTGGTTGTCGTAGCGGTCTGTGTAGACATGACTAAAGAAGGTAGAAAGAGGTAGTATGTCGTGCTGTCGTACCTATGCGCTCGTTCTGAATATCCCTCACGCGGTGAGTGTTAGGAACTTCTCGTTGGAGTCAAGAACGATATGCATCGATGAATTTACCTCGTAGGGAACGGGTTTTAGAAACGGGCATGGGAGCCCTAAAGATACATATCTAAATTGGGGGTTGCATGGTTATATTCCGGGAAGAACAATTTGAGCCTTACAGTCTGCCTAGATCCTACTGCAGAGGATACTGCGGTCGCTGCTCCGGGCTAATCAGTGGAGGAATGGAAGCCTCAGGCGCGTGCTGCGGTAACACCGCGTATGATGATTGCTTTTGCTCCCTGGCAAGGGATGTGGCTGCTTTGCCACCGCTAAACAGATGAAGGGCCATCGATGGATCATGGACTGAGATTTCTGGATTTCTAAGAGATAAGGCGTGCCAGTTCGAGATTACGGCTTGAAGTGTGACGTGAAGTATGATATCCGAGCGAATGAGTGCGTCGAAGCGGTGGAGGGAGTGGCAGAAGAAGGCAACGACAAGGCAAACTGCTAAGGCAGCTTAGCAAGTGGGAGATAACGCGCGCCGTATAATAGAGATAGAGAAGTGAGGCTTCCACCCAAGCGGCATTGTTATAGAAGGGCATGACGCTAAAGTTACGTATGATCGCGCTGCAGGGCTGGTGTTGCGGGTGCCGCGCGGTGACTTTCTTGATACAGATGCACTTCCTTGTTGCGAGAAATTGTTCGACAGCTGAGGCGTTTGCGATTCACATATCGCGAGTGCGCGGTCGCAACGGTGCTGAGAGAGAGGTAGCGAGCGTACCGTTGTGTTCTGATCTCGGTCGATGGGAAGCTTACTGCCTAGGTAAAGGTCATCGCTTGTCGGCACGTGATCATCGCTTATCTTACAGCCGAGGCTGCGACTTCGGTGCCTCATCACTCAAACACTCCATTACACTTCACAAACCAAAACATACATATGCGAAGACGAAGCTGTGGTAGAATCGATGGCGCGCATTTAGTTGTTTCTATCGCACACCGGTACGGGATCAACCAAACAACGAATCCTTGACATATACGCCCAGCACCTTCGTCCACGTGAAATGGATCCTACTCAGCCTCATGATCTTCTTCCTAGCCGTACCATGAGGATTCTCTCGGACCTCCTCGTTGACATCGCTATCATCATCCAAATCCGTGCACGTCAAAAACTCCGAATGTTGATGTCGCATCGCCGCACTAGACCCCCACTCCGAGCCTTTCCTTACGTCCAGACAAATCAATCTTTCACCTTTGACAGACAGAACTTTCAACACAATAAAACCGCTGGCAAGCATCGTCGATAGGTGTACCGGAATATCGATACTGAATCCTTCGTTCCCCGATTCGGCCCGCCGGTCGAACATGCCGTTATACGGGCCCTTGGTAATGAGCGTGGTGTCCCGCTCGTTGTGTAGTAAGCTCGTCAAAATCATCTGATCGTCGATACCCGTCACGTCAGCCATCTCTTTGATCGACTTGCATACCACGCGTCCGCGTAGGAAGTCATGCCACGGCCATTCGCAAACATAGCGTGATTTCGCTATCACAAGGATGAAACCAGCTAGTAGCCAAGCGAAGGTGGTGATGTTGAATGGATCGACTCCCTTGAGGCGGTTCTGCACCGAGAACGGAACTGCCGTTGCGCCACATATGAGCACGGCGCAAAAGCAGAGGATGGTGTAGACGTAGCGGTGGCACTTGAGCGACACCGTGAGCTCGGATATGATCCATTCGTTCATGCGCATCTCCGCGAACCTCTGTTTCTCCAAGTTGGCTTGACTCAGGCTACCCGGGCTACCACCTGATGATAGAGGATCAAACTTTCCCGGTTCTGGGGGTGTTGCTAGGATGTCCTTAAAACTAGTACCAGCTGGTGATGGTCAGTATAGCCTAAACAATCCGAAAGGTTGAAATAGCCTTACCACGTATCGCTTTACTCAAAGGGCTTTGAGACACTGACAAAACTTCTAGATCAGGTTGACGAGCAGCATTGGTGAACTTAAGCTTGTGCTGTCTATCTTCCCACGCTGCAGTCGTAACAACGAATTTGGCAGTAAAATGTTTCCGCTCAAACTGTAGCACGGGGTCTTCGTCTTCGCTGTTACCCGTCGCAAAGTCCAGCATCAGGCCCATTCCAATTGCGACAAAAGGATCAGTCAATGATAGAGGAATCATGATGGAAACAATGTCGTCGAAGCGTGATGTACGGAAGTCGTGGACTTCTGATACTGAGCCCTCGGTGTATTGACAGTGGATACGCGTTTGGTCACGCGCATCGTCGCGGGGCGGTTGGCGTTTCGCTTTGAGATGTTCAACATTCTTTCTCAGATTCTGAAAAGCAGTGTAGCTGCAGGTCACATGCGTAGCGTCCGAAGTCGCTGCTACGTCACCTCGGCGATCGCTCGATATCACAGTCAGACTTCGTCGAAGGCCCGTCTCATATGCCAATGTGCAGACTTCGAAGCAGTTGGGCGGAGTTCCAGTCTTCTCAGATGCGTACAGTGCATTCACCGCGTAGTTGAAGAGCTGTGACAGGAAGACTTGCATCCCGTAGTGATCCTGGAAGTAGTAGCCTGTGATGTCAGCTTCGGCTTGCGAGTTGATGTCCATGTCTTCCTTGTCCTCTTCCTTTGCATCCGTAGCGCGGACCTTCAATACCTGCACGTTGTCCTTGGTCTCGCTATCTTTCATTCTTTCTAGTAGCTCTTCCGCGGCAGCTAGAGAAAGAGAGGCGTATTGAGCCGGGTTATAAGACAGTATCTTCAGCTTCGCAGACCATTTGGCTAGGATTGCGAGGGAGTGATGGTTCCAATAATCGCCTGTTGCGGAGCGCACCACCAGCCTAGCAACCTGGCTAGTGATGTAATCAACAAGGGCGAAATATACCTTCCGGTTGTCGTCGGCGGATTCGAGTAGTTTTGGTCGACGAGCTTTCACCTTTTCTTCGTCCTGTTCATATCTGGTAGTGAGTCGCGTTCTGGCATCTTTGAAGTTCCGGACTGCATTTGAAAGGGTCGAAATCCAACGGCAATGTTCCAGTATGTGCAGGGTATTATCGTGTACTACTATTGAAAAGTTGCATGCAATTTGGTCAGCAAGATTTGAGAGATTCTCAAATGTCGTCGGGTCTGTTCTGTCGAAGATTCCGCTACTGTCGAATATGAGCGCATCTTCAGATGCAGCGTCGACTGTCAATCGTCGGATTTCCAATGTCCAGAGGTGTTTCTCGGTATTCGTGGATATACCGTAGTTCTTCAGATCGTCGAACTTTGGTAGCCCGGTTAAGCGCATGCCACCTTTGCTGTATTTTTCATGTTCGGTCGCTCGTTTCATGATATTTTCCCCTTGGAACGTAAATACATGATTGCTTCTGGAAAGGGTTCCTCGCTTGCTTGGCTTTTCGGGTAAGTTGTATCCAAGCCCTAGTGGCGGGGCCTGCTTTTCTCGCTCACTACGAAGTCAGTCCCTTAACGTAGGTTCAGCGCGCGTGTATCTCACAAGAGCGATTGTTCTGTGCTCATGGTTTCCAAGGTTTCAAAGCTCCCAGCCCGAGGTATCCATCAACCAGCAAGTGCAGAGCGAAACTTTTACAGTCTACGATGTGAATGTATCACATCGCCCCAGGCTAGATCATGCGACGGGTATGGGCTTGCTAAGCCCGAAAGCCTCATAATGCTAGAGCTGCAAGTCTAGGGGCTGAGCAGTGGGAATCATGCACGTAAGCTCGAATTTCACTGATCATCCGCATTCTGGCTCTGTAGTCTAGACCCTCGACGTTCTACGTCGGCTAGTCGAGCACAAGGCTGCGCATCAGAATACTTGCAACCTGTTCGTTGAGCGACGAGGCTGCATGAGGCTAACCCATCTCGGCACGGGCTGGCGAAGATCCTGTCCTGCAGGACGATTCTGCCTTGCAGTTCAGCTGCTGACATATCTCAACGAGGCGAAATTCATTCGTCCGTCTTAGTAAGGCCCTAAGGCCGTTATTTTGATAGGTTGCATTACATTTGACGACCTTGAAGGGGACGAGGCTGCATCGATCTAACTTCTTTCGATACATCTTCATGATGACGTGGTCTGAAGTACGAACTGCGCCTCGATCTTTCGTGCATGACCTGAATACGTGGAAGTTCGCTGTGCGTACTTGCGTTGCTCAGCCGCAATAGAGTTTGGGCAGAGGAGTACGTGATAGCCCTACCATGCTACCATGTGTCATACGAAGCCCAAGTCGCCGCATCAATTCAAAACGCTCACAGCATACTCTGTTATCATAATCTGAAAAGAAAGATACTCTCCGATGTCGGTGGAAGATTACAGCGCCGCGCGACGGGGGATCCTCCAGGATGTTGCCAACGTCTCGACCACAGCTACACGACCAGTTTCAGCACACGACGAGGAGCCTTTCGATTTCAAGGTTGATCTGGTAGACATTCGCGAGAAAGAACAATGGGGAGATGCGCCATTGATCACCCTAACCCCCAACCGACATCAAGCTAAATCCAGCGTCGCAGCCAGATATGAGGACTATATCCTGGTTCTGCGGAGAAGATTTAACATGTTGGGCGAACGACAATCGACAGATCTTGAAGTTCGATCACCTCAGATACTAAGGGCCTTCCGCAATGTCTTGGGAGATCATCCCTCGATGAACTTCGATTCTGATTTCGTCGCCATCTCCAAGCCGTACGCACCACTGTTTCATTACCGCAAGGAACTTCGAAGCTATGCTTCTGACAAATCAAGGACAGTGATCGAGAAAGAGCACTTGGATGTGCTAATCAAATTCATGGACAAGAACCTGTCGCAGACCGAACGTGATTACGGACATTCTGAACCCTACCAAATGGTCTCTTATCCTCTGCTCTGGACACTTTTCAGGCCGGAAGAGGTGATTATTGCTCAAGGCGATCACTTCGACGAGTGCTACACTGTTGACACTTGCGAATACGTGCCAGAAGTGCGCCAAGGCACTGACGACGACCTGACGCCGTATTTCAAGATTGAGGCTAAGAGATGGGACTATAATGGCACACGTTTCGGTATGTGTACGGAGAAACTCAAGATCAGGGAATTTCCTACTCCGGTCAAAATCGATACCTTGGTGGTGTACCCAATACGATTTCACAAGAAGGAAAATACGGAAAGCCTAAGAGAAAGGCTGGTACAACGAGGAAGGAAGTGGAGAGAAATCTTGGAGAAAACTCACATGCATTATAATGGTCAGTGTTCGAGATATTTGTCTCGCACTGGCTGACAGACTGAGCAGCATTGGCTTGGTCGGAGCCTCCTCATGAACGCATCGTTCATGTCGACAAATTGATACCAGGCCATGTAAGCTTACCATCAAGACTTTGAAGTTTACTAACGTGATCAGGTTTCGGGGCGGATCATGTTAGATTACGAGACACACGCACAAGCTACACCCCGTCTTGCGACATTCCTTTCGACGTCGGGCGCAACAATGGACTACGACGACAAATACACAGTCAACAAAGACTACGACATGATCGAGGACCAAAGCATGGCGCGCATGGCCAGTGATAAGGAAGACAGGTTCATGTCTCATCTCAATACCCCAGCTTACAAAATCTCTGATGACCAAGCCCTTCTCACCCCTGCTAGAGTAAGAGGATATTCTTTTGTAGAAAAGATATGGGCTTTCTTCTTGGTCGATGAAGTACGAGATATTGAATGGCATCCAAATGCATTTGAGAGCCTCGAACTGGATGTTAGAATGAAGACTGCAATCCTCGCGATGGTTTCGGCACATCAAAACCAAGATGACTTCGATGTAAGCTATGCCCAATCTGGCGTGTCTAACTAGATGCTGAATTACCAGGATATCGTACCGGGCAAGGGCAAGGGTCTTGTCTTCCTCCTTTATGGCAAGCCGGGACTCGGCAAGACTCTGACAGCAGGTACGTGGGAGCCTGAGCGAGGTCGGAAAAATTAGCTAACGGCGTCAAGAGGCTGTCGCTGAGCACATTCAGTGTCCTATGTACTCCATAACCAGTGGCGAGTTGGGTACAGACATCGAGCAGACAGATGTCCAGCTTCGTACCATATTCACCCGAGCAAAGGCGTGGGACGCGATAATATTGCTCGATGAAGCAGACGTGTTTCTGGCTAAGAGGACCGCAACCGATCTCAAGCGAAACGCTTATGTTTCAGGTAAGCCTCCAGCAAGACCTAGGATGTCGATCGGCCTTTCGTAGTTTCTTGACGACTAACAATTCGCAAAGTGTTCCTTCGCCTCATCGAATATTACAAAGGCACCATGTTCCTGACAACGAACCGTCTCGAGGACTTTGATAAGGCATTCGAATCTCGGATTCATCTAACCATTCGATATGAAGCGCTCGATAGTACCCGCCGTACTAACATCTGGAGAAACTTTCTGAGGAAAGTCGGGTCTGGAAGTTGGGACGAGGCAACATTGTCGCGTCTCGGATCAGAGTAAGCAGTACCTATAGGCACCACGTAGCGTTACTAATACCTATCGATAGGTACGTACTGAATGGTCGCGAGATAAAGAATCTGCTTAGGACTGCTCTTGCAATTTCGAAATACGAAGAGAAAGAGCTCTCGGAGGAGTTGATCCGGAGAGTGTTGGACCTTTCGAGGGAGCATCTGATTGGAGACGGTTCCGAGTCGACGCTCAGCCCGAACCAGAACTATGTTCCAGCCTGACCTCGGGGGTCAAAGGCGCAGTATCTTCTCTTCTTCTTGCGGGTTCTTTGAGAGCGGGGGTATATTATGGAATAGAGACGTTTTGCTTTTTGCGCACTCCTGCATGCGAACGTCAGCGATCAGGCGCGCATGCGCGATAATGTGGGCATACTGTGACATGCCACTATCAAGGCGTTGGGTGGGGAGAAAGGGCATTGGGGCATGTGAGAAAGTAGCAACTGGCCGAGGCAGCGTAAACAGCGGAACAGAATGCGCGCTGTATGGTGAGTGTTTCGGCGCGCAACATGTTCGCCCTAATGCATGACGCATCTTTACAAACCTAAATCATCGCGTATCCACCACCGGTAGATGAGCATGTGTGCAGCAACCCCGCCACCTGCCCGCTTCATGCTAGCCTATTATGAGGAGTTGGACATTTATATATCAAGTACCACAACGCAGCTCACCACTCTAACACTACTACCATCTTCCCAAGGTCCATCTCTGAACGTCTTACCTATCCACAATGTCCACCCTCTCCGCCCAACAAGCAACGGCTAAAGCCGTCATCGATGGATACAACGCATGGAACATGGATAAGATCATGGCCTACCGAACGGCAGACTGTACACAACAAGTCCTCCCTGCGTCTCTTGGCCGACCAGTCATGAATAACACCGAGTATCGCGAGCGCTTCAGTCAGATGATTCCACATTTCAGGAACTTCAAGGTAAGACACGAGGTTTTGTTTCGGGATGCAAGCAACTGATATCCCCTTAGGTCACTGTTCACACAGAAGTGCATGATGTAGATGCGCATACGTGTATCATGCATGCGACGAGTACAGCCGATAGCGATATTGGACCGTACGCGAATGAGTACGCGCTGATCCTGCATTTCACAGAGGATGGAAAGCAGGTTACCAAGTTTTTGGAATTCGTAGATTCGGCTTTCTCCAACAAATTCTTCAAGGAGCTAAGAGACGCGGGACTTGGACCGCAGTAGAATGTACAGCATAGATAGCGATGCAGGACATGAGTACAAGATAACTCAATTCAAACCGTCCCCACCACCCTTATCTCACCTCCCTTATCACCTTCTTCCATCCTACCGCTTCACTTCGAAGTCACCTCCAGGCTTCCCTGGCGAGTGCACCTGCTCATGATTGTCAAACTCCTTGCCCGAGAACTTGCCCTCGCGAACTTTGTTCTGGTTCTTGTGGGCGGCGATGCTGTGTTTGGTGACGCTGTCGCCGTGGCGGTCTTCCACGGGCTTGGGGACGTCGGAGGCGTACTCGGATTCGTGGCGATGGCCTGGTCGGGTGGTATCATGTGACGCCGGGGGAGATGGGGAGGCTTTCGAGGCTGATTGCGCGGAGGAGGAGGACGTGGAGGATGAGGCGGAGGCGGAGGACGTGGATGGGGTGGTGGTGTAGTAGAGGGCTGCAGCGCCGGCGGCCGCGGTTGTGGTGAGCCTAGCTGAGTCAGTACGGCGTGTCCAACCGATATGGGGACGCAATGCGCACCGCGCAAAGAGTTGGAATCGCAACTACTCACCATGTCAATCGCGACGATGTCTTCAGCGTTTCCTTAGTGCGCTGCTCATGGTCTGTCGCATACTGTCTCCTCGCTGCTGGGCACCTGGCCCGGCATGGGACGCGAGACAGAGCTCGCAGTGAGGTCGTCTTGGTGGTAAACATTATGTAGCTATTGAAGAAGATGGATTTTCAACTGTCAGTCCCAGCCTTGGATATGTATGCGCCATCTGCCCAGGTGTCGATGGCTGGCCCCAAGCCACGCTACGTCATCGGCTGTTTACGCGCCTTGGAACGTGGACGCGCCTGCGCACGTGCCTACGCACGCTATGCCACGAGGCTCCTGAAGCAGAAGAAGGAGAAACCTGGATCCTCGCTATTGCTCCTCCGCTCTACTACCCACCACTATGTCTATTCAGTCAATGCCATCGAGCTAATTCGATCCTCGGCGTGCGTCACTCTCATAGCTATACGTAGCGCCCTGCGCCCTGCGCTCTGCCGCATCGGGTCTCCAAAGACCAACGACGAGACAGGCTTGAACAGACTGCATCATGTCTACAGGTCCACCTTCTGAACACATTCTAGTGCTGGTCTTCTTTTCTGTGGCCGCAGCCCTCCCTTGACGTCTCGCATGCCGTCCTCGCCGCCGATCTTCTCTCGAAACCAGTGCAACGGCTTTATATACCACCAAATCACCTATTCCTTCACATACGACCATAGGATCTTGACACACAGCGCTTCCCGTTCGCTCAGCGGTACTTAAGCAAGATACCGGCTCGTTAGTAGCTTCGTGGGTGACCAGAAGCGAATCCGGGCTGTTGTATGTTTTTGCACATCCTTTTTTTGCCCATGCTATAGCGATGACGCAGACTAGACCAGCGACTTCCGATTTGTATACAATCGTGCTTTGTAGATAACAAGGACCGCCAATTCAAGTACCTGAAGCCGAACCCGTAGCGATACGAGCCCGCACCTAAGCCACTTCGAACCTCTATCTCCGGCCATGTTCGGAGGATTGCGAGATGCCAGAGCTCGTACGCAACGGCTCCATGGCAGGGTACCTATACGTCCGTAAACTTGCCTCAAGTACTGCTTGGCAGGTTAGCACTTTCAAGCCAGGAAGTTATAGTGGGGCTCCGTTGTTTACGTCCGTAAACTAGACCTACTGACCGACCGGGGCAACTTTGTCACAACAACAGGCTCGGCAGCAATGTACAGGAAACATACACGGACATGTCAAGGTATCATAGACAACTGTCAATATCGACAGCGAATGGTGCCGAAGTAACGGTCTCTTGGACTCTGATGAAGATCCTAGTGCGAGTGTCTCGGCCGGACAAGGTATGTACTAAGGTATATGGTACTGCTTTTTCCTCTCTCTTTTTGTTACACCCAAACTGTCACCTCTTCGTCTCAAACACACAAACAATCTCCTGAACGGTTCTTCCAACCTACCTAGGTACATACCTCCAAAACGATACCAGGAACCAACATGACCGACACTATCTCCGTCGACTACCTTGTCATCGGCGCGGGTGCTATGGGCATGGCCTTCGTCGATACCCTGATTTCCGATAAGAAGGAGGCTACGGTAGCCATTGTCGATCGCTATTCCCGTCCGGGAGGTCACTGGACAGTTGCTTACCCCTTTGTCACCCTTCACCAACCGTCCCACATCTACGGTGTCAACTCTCGAAAGCTCGGAGATGAGCAAATCGATCAAGTTGGATTCAACAAGGGCCTTGCCGCGGTGGCAACAGGCGACGAGATTGTCGCCTACTACACCAAGGTCCTGAACAGTAATTTCCTTCCGTCCGGTCGCGTCACCTATTACCCACTGCACAACTACACTGGCGATGGAGAGTTTCAATCGCTTGTCACAGGGAAAGCCATCCGGGTTGGACCGAACGCTCGCATTGTAGACTCCACATACGTGAAGGTCACGGTTCCCTCTATGGGCCCACCTTCGTATGAGGTTTCAGACAAAGCCAACCTTGTCACACCCAACGCTTTAGCAACAACACTGAAGCGACCCTACGGCGGGTATACAATCATCGGAGCCGGAAAGACCGCAGTCGACGCATGCTCGTGGCTCTTAGCTCAAGGCATTGACCCGAAGAAGATTTCTTGGATTATGCCGCGCGACTCCTGGTTTCTGGACCGCGCCACCCTTCAACCTCCAGAAACGACGTCAAACCTGGAACAACTGCAGGAAGAAAAATCCGCTGCCATCATGGAGTCCAAAACATCTCAAGAGATGTTCCATCGCATGGAGGAGCTCGGGCATGCGCACCGTCTAGACAAGAGCATCGAGCCCACCATGTTCAGACACGCGATTGTGACAAAGGCGGAGTTTGACGAGGTCAAGAAAGTCAATAACATCATACGCCAGGGACGAGTCAAGCGCATTGACCCAGACAAGGTCACTTTAGAGAAGGGCACATACACTCCTGTGCCTGACACCCTCTTCATCGACTGTACTGCGCCTGGTCTAGGAAACGTGCCACCTATTCCCGTCTTCAATGGCAGAAACATAACGATTCAAAATGTAAAGTTCTTCCAGCCCACGTTCAGCGCCGCTCTCATTGGACACGTCGAAAGTAGCTACGACAACGAAGACTTCAAGAACTATCTTTGCGACCCTTTTCCGTACACTCGCATACCGGCGGAATATCCTACGACCCTTCTGGCTTCTATGAAGAACAGACTCAAGTGGATGGCGGAGCCTAAGGTGAGTGAATGGTGTGCAAAGTCTCGTCTTGACTTTCCCGTCATGGGTTCGCCGCCTAGGGATCCTGAGAAGGCCACAGCTTTCAATGCCAGTATTGAGCAACGGGTGAGGGGGCTTTGTGATCACTTGGAGCAGATGGGAAAGAATGATGCTGCAAGTGTAGTCTAGCTGTAGTTCAGAAGTCCTCTTTGGGGCGTTTCTTCTTTTGATCGGTCTGTTAATTGAAGTAATTACGCATTTGTATTCGAAATGAAACTAGCTTACCAAAGGTTTTCATTCCACCCATCTCTAGTCTTTGGTCTTCGCGTAATCTCACGTCAACCAGTCACTGTCGGTCCTGATAGTCATAAACGAACCATAAGCACTGCGCACCCTCGTTCCTAGGTTAGATTATGTATCCAAGAAGACACTTATGGAACAACTCACTTTGACGCAATTTAAATGTGATGCCATACTTGAGCTATTGACTCCATGAACACAGCGATGACGCAGAGCGACTGAGCTGCTCAAATCATTTACAACTCTTAGCAAAACGAACGCAAAGAGTTGCTCGAATGATGAGGACCGTAAGTACATGTGCTCGCACAGAGAAGAAGGGTTATCACCAAACAATCTCTTTCCATTACAACAACTATCCTAACTACAACATCTCAAAGAGGAAGAAGAAGAGGGGCAAACCACCCCAGCCTTCCGCTAATCCAGTTGCTACCTTGGCATCCACCTATTGAAGACCCTGGACGAAGTCGTAGAGTGCCTCATTGACTTCATCAGCTCGCTCAATATGAAGAAAATGGCCAGCATCAACAGTTCTAATCTGCATTCCCGGAGCGTATGGCAGCGTAGACCGTAACTGCTCTGACGGAATACCGACAGAATCCCTCTCGGCCGCGATGAACAGACTAGGCTGCTCAATGACTCCCGACATCGATCGAATCTCGTTCTCATCAGCCGAGTTGATACCCCGCAAGTAAGATTTGTACCATTTCAGATTTGCCTCAACGCCTCCCTGGGCGCGAACGATGGTTTTCCATTGCTCGCGAGTCGAATTGGTGATGAAGTCGTTGCCGTATTCCGCTCTTCTATCAGCTGCGAGCCATTCTTGAAGTGCACCAATCGGGTTGAAATTCTCCGCCATTACTTTTGGTGCATTGAACGAGTACGCGAGAGAGTATAGAGAACCCAACTGTATCATTGTAAGCTTGAGCTCATGATGGGTAATAATGTTGAACGTACGTGTGCATCCAAAAGGACGTGTGCGTCATCTTCATCGAAGAAGTACCAGTACCCGAGAATGGGGTAGCCGAATGTTGCTTGTGAAATATTGTTATAAGCCTCCACGAAGGTTTGGTTGACGTCTATTCCGGGGGCGTTGTAGCCGATATCCAAGAATGCAAGGGCTGAGAGGTACTGAGACTGGTACGTGTGAAAGCGGGAGAGTACATAAGCTCCGCTGAGGCACGTTAGTCGGACGGTTTGAACAAGACAACATATGGCATTATTGGACTTACAGATCATGCGAAACTGCGATTACCTTGTCAAGACCTTCGCAGTCGAGCAGTTCAGCAAGGTCAGATGCCATTGTCTTCAGACTATAAGCTTCCAGTTCGACGGGCTTGTCTGTACCACCGGTGCCCAGAAGATCTGGGGCTATGATGCCGTAGCCGCGCCTGGTAAAGTATTCGATCTGGTTGACCCAACCGTACGAAGTATCTGGGAAGCCGTGAAGAAACAGGAGGTATGGCTTTTCCTTGTCGAACGGGGCGTTGATGGCGTAGCGGTAGGTCGTTCCGGAAACAGCAAGTTTGACGTTCTTCATCATGCGCACATAGCTGGTGTTTGCAATATCCGACTAATGCAAATCAGCGTCCCAGTACAATTTGAGGAAGCTTGCTTATGGTAAACCTACGGTGTCAAGGCCCACGTTGAACTGACATGTCAGATTCTGATGGAGTGTGAGCATTGTCCTTCCAAAAACGCATTGCTTTGAACCCGTACCTCTGCGCGGCTTTGTTGTGATGTTACTGCCCCTGACGCAAGTATCAGGCTACTCGTCAGGAGAAGAACTTTGAGATCAGAGATCATAGCTATGGTCGAGATGGTAGGAGCTATGTCTGGTTCTGAAATTTACAGCGTTATTGTGGCGGAGTCGAGTGCTGGTATCTGAGGTTTCTGCAAAAGTAGCCATCTTATACGAGGCGCAAGCTGGTGCGCAGGAACTGTTACTACTGTTGACTGATCAGTATGGTATTAGCAATGCTTCCATGGCGGAAAACTGTTATCCCGGCCGTGTTCGGTACGAGTGTTGTTACGGCCGAGTGCTGCGCAGATCCCTCCGGCAACTTCTCTACACCTAAACCAGGCTTAATTTAACCCACGTATCTGTTTGTTCCGTTCTACTCTATTCTAGCTCTCTTGAGTCATGCGTAGAGGACCTGAAGTGAAATTGATAACGTGCCAGAAGAAAGCGGCGATAGCTGACGTTGTTGTTGCTTCATGGTCGCTGTTAGGCAGGGCCATGCGGGGCGCGAAGCCAAGCAACAACCGGCGCTCACAGCTGCCCCGCCTGAACCGTCTGCGTTAGCCTCGTACACCCTTAGCTCAACCTTTCCAGCTAGGCGAATACGTTGACTGTGCTGTAATACTTGTTTAGCTGTGACATCGAGTCACAGTTTTGGGTCGCAATGGCGGTAAGAGCTTCAGAGTCTGACGGTGGTTAAGATCTTGTCGTTTTCACGGACTGCCGTCTCGATCTTTTACCACAGCTCCGCCCACCGCCCCACCTATCAGCCTCGTTGTTAATCTTGTCAATCATTGCGCAATGATGCCAAGTCGCGGGCTCTGCTACGAGATAAACTCAAAGCTGATATATGATACGTCGGGGTAAGTTCGTATTGGGAAAGAAGGTTAAGGTAATACTAAGAAAGATGAAGCTGACCAGCCATCTCTTCGCTCCCGCTACATGCTTGGTATGCCTTGCTCCACTTGCCGGATGCCGTCGAGAGACCAAATACTCTCTAACCATTATCATTCACTTTCGGGCCCTTTCAATCGCACGACAGCCGGTCCCAATACCTCATACAAGGGAGAAAGCACTGATGTGTTTATCTAATTGTACAAATTATAGAGATTCACATGTAATATGTGTACAAGTGCAAGAGTGTTCGAATCTATAACCTGCATAAAGACAGGCTCTAGTAACGCAAATCCTAAACGTAACATATTCTTATTTTGGATTCCAAAATCTTTTCCAAGAAGAATATAGGGTAGAAGAACGAACACTACTAGAAGAGCGCAATAGCCTATTATTGCATCGAAGTCTCGAATATCCTTCCACCCTAGAACAGGTGATTGTTCCGTGGGGGTCTCCCTCAGCCGTCTGAGGCATCTGAGAGCAAGAAAGTATGAGACAGCAGCTATATGATACCACCTTACAGCGAACGACTGATCTTGGACCTGGTCTCGTTTGGGTGATGAGAAAGTGAAGTAAATAGTCAACATCGGCATTACTGCCTGGACAGTTTCGCGGGGAGAGAAACCCTCGAATAGCTGATCAAAGATCCAGTACACGACACGGCATAGGCGGTATCCAACGGACCGAAGGATTACAAGACCTTGTTCGCGGATCTTCCGAGCACTGATCGAAGTCGGATGAATATGAACGATGTCGATCATGGTAACTCTTCGGCCTTGAATCAGCTGTGGTACGGTGCGAAGCGCCACTACTCCATGAGAGAAACGTTGAACTCGTGGCAGTGTCGACAATTCCTCCCGTTTCCATGCATGGAAGATCTGTTCAATATCGGAGCTGTCATCGATAAGAACAGGAAGGAGCCGGGCATCCCAAACGCAGTCGTGAAAGAAGCTATTCTTGTGAAAGAACGTCATGAGAGGGTAGCAGCAATTGTTCTCTGAGCTGAGTACCACAAGTGTTCGGTTGTCCGGATCTTTTAGACAGCTTGAATGCCGATTTCCCTCAAACGTATGCGTGTAATGAGACGATGGGCCAGAGGGAAATATCTGGGAGACTTTATGGCCTTTCGGTAGTGTGTGTAGAATGGAAGTGTTGTCCTTTAGGTGGTTTGTCGAGTAGTCAGCAAGCGGCTCCATGCTGATGTACATTGGCTGCTGTCCCAAACGCACCCAATCGGTGAAAGGAACAGATTGGAGCTCGCCGCTGCGCCTCTGATATTGGTGACTGCTGCCCGTCTGCTTTACGGGAAGTGCCAAACTACCGAATGTGTCGAGCCGCCGTGTGCAGTTGAGCACCGCGAGGAATTCGCCGTCAACGCCTCCCCTGAGGAGTGGTAGACTGATCTTGAGGCCTGTGTTTGTTATGGAATACGGCTTCACCGGACCTGATTGTATGCTTCGCACGACATGTTCACAAGAGGCAAATGCAGCTGGCGAATGGGCAAAAAGCTTGCTGCTGTCGTTTCCCGCAGATGGTGAACCCCATGCCAATATTGACTGGTCATCCGAGTGCTTCACAATCTCTTCTTGTAGCCTCTGGAAAGCTTTCGTGCCTTCGCCGTACAGCAGAGGCATGTTGATGTCGAAGATTCCGAGCAAGCAATAAGCGACGTCTTCGTGTCTTGTTGTCTCTCTTCCTGATGCCCAAGACATTCTCTCAGCAATACTTGCTTGCCTGAGTAAGTTGACATTGGGGCCAAGGAAGCGCTTATCAATTTTTGTAATGGTACAGATCATTTCTGCTAGATCTTCTTTCGTCCCGACGAAGTTCCATCCAGCGTCGTAAAACTCAAGCTTTGGAGGTGCCAGTAGCTCTTGAAGTGTCCACCCTCTCGTAAACCATTTTGATTTGGCAAACGCAGTATTCCTCTCAGCCTCACCGATATCCGCACAAACGTCGTCTAGGTAGACGTAACAGACTTGAGAGTTGCAGTAGTATCGCCACATTGAATTGATCGATTCGGAAAGCTCTGCACTGTTACTTTTGTCGATGCAACAGGTATCAATCCAGAAGAACTGGTGGTCATCCCATTTTGCTTGTTCTCCACAGCCGTAGATTTTCTTATATCCTCTTGTGTCCCTGTATGTGTTGTCTATCACATCGTTGAAGGCGACCTCTTTATAGTCTTTGCTCCATCTATGCGAGAGGATTGCATATTTCGGCTCAGTCTCTTCTGGGTGGTCCTTAAGGCTAAGGTCTCCATCTTCATTCATCTCTAGTAGACGCATGATCTGAATGTAATTTTGCTGTCAGTACTTTGGGTAGTATTTAAGAATATGAACAATAGAATGTAAAGGAAAGGTTAGTGGTGAAACTGATGTTGTGCGAAGAAGAACAGAAGATGACATTCGACGTGGTTGTCGCTTTATGACGCGGGGCGGTGATGAACGCAGTCAGCTAGGGCTGTGCAGGGAGGCTAGGCAACAGCCGGCGCCCACGGCTGCCCGCCTGAACGCCACCAGCTCAACCTTTGGAAACCTTGCCTCTCCGCCTCCACAAAACTAACGCCTAGCTCTAAGAACTATCTGCGCAATAGCTTTCCCCGGAACATGTCAACTTTAGGAAAAACTGAACACCCTGGGGTCTACACTTTCATAGCTTAGTCTCGAATTCTCGCGGGAATGTGAGAACCTTCGGCATTATAGGAAGGAATTTGCCCGTGTCGCCAGCATTCCTGCAACGCGTTTAGACTAGCGTTTTTCAAGTAAAGCCGAAGTGGCCTCTAGCTATTTATTCACCTTGATTCCCCCTCATCACCGGGCTCGACCATACCCAAAATTCATCATCTCTTAGAATCGATACCACATCCAACCCTCGATCTGCGCCTACAATGCCGCTCCTCGCCTCTATTACCGTCTTTCTACTAGCCGCGCTCCATGTCTACATCATGGCTTTGGAGATGTTCCTCTGGACCTCACCAGCAGGGTTGAAAGCTTTCGCACTCAAGCCTGACTTCGCGGCCAAAACTAAGACCATGGCCGCCAACCAAGGCCTGTACAACGGATTTCTGGCAGCTGGCCTCTTATGGTCTTTGGTCCACCCCAGCGCCGTGTTTGCGCCTCAAATCGCTCTGTTCTTCGCGGGTTGTGTATTTGTGGCTGGTGTCTATGGAGGGTTGACGGCAAATACCAAGATTTTCTTTATCCAGGGTCTCCCTGGAGCTCTGTGTCTTGCTGCGGTAGTTTTTGCGTAGGCGACCGTACCCTAGCTATGCCTATCAACAAGTCTAAGACTAAATAAATTAAGTGATACGTCTAGCTGTGTGATGTGCTTATCTGTGAGGTACGTCGCTACATTACGAGGACCGAGCTAGCACAGTACAGCATCCATTTGTCGGCGTAATCTTTTGGCCTGAGCGTATGTCGCGACCTCGGACCGACATGAGGGGAAGGAGTCAATCACCATTCTGTCGGTTGACGGTCATGTTGGAACTGCTGGCCATATCGCTAACGCGCAAAGGGGAAGAACACTACGCGAAAGAACCCGAGCGATCTTTAGAGAGCAATAGGATGTTGACGTGCACAACAAATAGGAAGGTATCTTCTATCGATTATCGATATAGAATCTTTTGTATGCTATAGGCGCCGCAATGAACCCGGAATCAGTTCCACTTCAGCGCACCAAATGTCATTACCTTGTTTCCAATATCGTGTACCGCTAGCACATTCCTGTGAAAGTTGGCTCCAAGGATATACGGCAGGTCGCCACCCCAGGGCGGAGTAGATGGCTCCATGAAACCCACGATGCATGTCTGCTTCTCCTCGTCGATTACGCCCAGGGTTCCATCGACGAGAACGTCTGATGAGGCGTAAGGAAGGTCCGTTCCGTTGATGCGAATGGCAACGGAAGGTATCTTCGCATTGCACGAAGCCACCCAAAGCCCGTCATCCTCACTGAAGGAAGCCGGGGGGTCGAAGGCTGCGGCGATTGTCTCTACAAGACCCTTCGGGACCATGCTGTAAGCAGTACCGGTGTCCAGGATCGTGAATCTTTCTTGACTGTCGCCGTAATGGGTGCCCGCGGAGGTGCCTGGGGCCCAGGCAATGAACTTTCCGTTGACCACAAACCCGTCAGGTCGGATGACATAGTGGACATACTCGTTTTCCAGCTGGTAGTGATCGAACGTCTCTTTGAGGATTGGCGTAGTAGCGTATGCACCCGTGAGCGGCAAAGACGATGACGATGGCGCTCCTCCTATCGTAAGGAAACCTGTAGCTGACAAGTCCGCGTCGTCTTTGCCCCTCTTGCCGAGCACGACTGAGAAGATGGGCTTTGCGACCAAGCCTTGGTCATAGGCGGTCTCCAACCATGGTTTGACAAATATGGGCTTTTTGCCGCCGTCCTGGGACGGGTCCGCGCCCTCAAAGATGGCGGTGGTTGCACCAAGTCCCCAGCCTAGTGACTTTTGTTAACAAACACTCATAGCAGACGACATGCTGTACGTACCCATGAGCCCACTAGTTAGATTGCCTGCGCTCAGCCAGTAGGTTCTATCCACGAACGACATCTTCTGATTCTTGACCGTCACACCTCCAAAGCCAACGTCTTCAAGACCCACAATGCCAGTCGCAAATTCCCCTCCGCCATATGTCACGTTGAAGTTCTGGTCCGCGATTTGGCCGCCAGAAAAGCTTTTGGGGCCGAATTTTGGAAATCCGCAAGTGGGCTGAGATCTACAATGAGAAACGTTTAATATCAGATTCAAGGTACCAGACGAGAGTTGGGTAATGCGTTGGACTTACTGTTGCGTGCCGTTTACGTCTACGCACACGAAATCGGCCTTTGGTACCCAAAAACTGCTGCTTCCAGTGTCGATCAAAACTTGAAGCGTCTCCGTGCCAATGGTCACGTCAATGGCATATTGCGCTCCGTCATAGATGGTGCGCAATGGTCCACCGCTTTGGCGTTTCGCAAGTTGTCTGCCAGCGCCAGAACGCAGCTTGAGGGGAATGGTTGAGTCGACTACCGGTATACCACGCTCTTGGAGTGCTAGAGCATGCACGTTGGATAGGGAAGCTACATCGCGACGTGAGAGTGGGTGTGCTGGCGAGCTGGATGCAAAGGCAGAAAGGAATGCGACTGCCGCAAAAGCGACCTGTTGGTTTTTGCGCGTCTGCATTGTTGAGCTAGGTGATGGAATCCAAGGTTCCAATGTGTAAAACAAAGTTCACGAAGAAAAGAGCGCGAACGGGAGGAACAATTATTACAGCCTCCCCCCTGGCACGGGTGTAAGCTTGGAAACGGTCCGTAGACAATACCGAAGAGAGACTTAATCTTACCGCCGGTGAGCACGGTCGACATAACACCGAGATTAGCGCCGTGACGCCATCATTCGTATTGGCTGATACGAATAGAAAACCACGAAAGAGAGATGGGCCGAACATGGTATGTATTGTTCAATTTTGAGGCTCGAATCTGCGTCCGCTCAGCCCTATACAAGCATTGCACTGAGGGCGCTATTGTATGTTTTGCTTTTGCTTCCTTTTGCTCTCTTTTTGCTCATCATCACAACACCTTCGGAGTTCTCACGAATGCGGTGCACTATACAACATGCCGCTTTACGGAGGGTAGCGCGATTCGATTTTAACCGAAGTGACTTCTGGTGTACGTCACCGTCACCGTCAAAGCTGAACCATCAGCATTGCAAGTGCCCGGACAACCTTAATCAGTGCAAACCCGTCAATTTTCCTCCCTTCGTAGCTTCCTAGAGCACACAGCCTCCAACTACTGTTCTGCTTCCTTCCTGAATGGTATCACTTCATCGACCGTGCCGAAGCCGGCTCTTCGCGCTACAGAAACGCTGTCCTCGAACCGCTCCGTTCCAGACGCAGCCTGCACACCTAACTGCGAACGATCATCATTCCGCACATCAGCAAGCCCGTCATGCCCACTCAAAAGCGTGTCAGTCTCTTTAACTTCATCCCCACTAACTTCGATCAGCTCCCCAAACCTAACCTCCATCCCACGCAGCTCTTCCGAAACATTCTCGTATCCGCCTAGCGTGCCAGAGCCTCTCATAACGACCGCTTCAAGTGTACCTCGTCCAGTAGTCGTCATCAGAAGCTGCATGAAACCCCCACTGATAGCTGAAACGCCGTGGTTCTGGACGTAGAGAGCTACGAGCCCTAGTACTACGATTGGTATTGCTAGGGCGAGTGAGAGGCCGTATGGTAGGAAGAAGGCGAGTTTGTTCTCGAAGCGGTAGACGTTGAAAGCGCGGGTCTCTGTTCCGTTGACTGTGGCGAAGCGTTGGCTTAGGGAAAGTGCAGAGATTGTGGTGTTGATGAGGAGCTCGTTGGCCATGTCGGGATCAAATGCTGGACAGTCATAATGTTTCCCTCTTTCATGAAGTCGTTGCTCGAAAACACCAAGTGGCCAGATCTCACTTTGTTGAGGAATGTCTATCAACAAGGGCTCCGCGTCGAGCACGCATGTTTCCACGACTTTACCATCTCTAGTTGTGTAAGGCTTTGAATTGTTCGACATGCTGGGATACTTAAATGTGCTCCCTCTGGCAACGCTTCCAGACTGATCGAGGTTCCGTGCGTAATACTTGTAAATTGATGTAGTGTCTGAAAGCTGAGACCATTGCTCAAAACTTCCGTTGAAGCTGTCGAAACTTGTCTCATATTCCGGTACAGATTCCTCGTCCCCAATCACATAAGAGATATGCTGTGCTCCGCCAGCGTGTGATATGGTGACGTAATATCTCACTATCCTAGGCTGACACACTGTTTCGGTTATAGGTACAATGACATGTATGCCGGAGCCCGGAAAATTTTCGACGTCCTCTGTATATGCAGATAGCGAGTGATTCATAGTAGGCTGCCACTTGTCTTTGTCTAAACATGGCCAATACCGTGGATTTTCTTCATAGTGGCCGACACGGTGGGTGATCGATGTACTCCCAAAGAAAAGGTTCGAAAGTTCGTAGTTCCTCAACTCGCAACTGGGTTCAGAGTGCTCTATCTTCCAAACCGACTCCGGATATTCGAAAGGGAAAGCGTTTAAGCCTATTTGCTTGATTGTGCTTTCCATGGTGCGGTTCGTAGTCTCGCAATCTAGTGTGGTGCCAAGAAAATTAAGTTCATACGATGTGTTCTCTCTGCTTGCTTGCTTCAGCCTCGATATCTCGCCTACGATGAGGTTTGAGCGTATGATATAATCCATACCAGGGGTCATGCTGTGGGGAAATCAGTATACACCAGATATAACCTTAGCAACGCTGTGGTTTGGTCGGAATGATATGGACTGACCTTTCTGTAGAACAATTTTCTAGCAACGACGAATCTTGTACCGCTTCCGGGAATGTCGGAGGCCTCGGATCGTATACACCGTCTGTGTTGTAATCACAATGTATTAAGGCTATAACATTGTCGTCCGTAATGTCTTGGAGAGTCCTGTAGTGAAAGACGGACACATTGAAGCTTTGATCGATGGAGGAGGACTGCAGTCCGACGACTAGAGTACCCGGAGGGTACAATGTTGCAATAGGTACAAGCCAGCAAAATATAGCTACGGCGACAAGCATTGGCGTTTTGAAGTACAAGTGGTAGTTGAGAAGACGGAGCGGATTTGTTTGCACTTGGAACAGGTCTTCGATTAGGGTGATCTGCACATTGTAAGCTTCCGTTTTGCTAGTGAGACCAAAAAGAATAGTACCTTAAGCGCACGCTTCCTGAATGTTGCCCAGAGGTATTGCGTGTAGCATGTCCCAATGCTTGCTACTAGTGCCGCACGAAACGCGGTAACTAGCACTAGCGATACCGTAGTAGCGTAGGCTTGTGGGATTGTAGTGGTCTTTGCAGAGGGCATAGAGCCTGGGAAGATGATACGACCGTCGAGGTAGGCGAAGAAGCAGTAGTGCGTTGCTGCACAAATGAAAGCTGATTATACGCTGTTAGCATCGTAGACAAGCAAATTCAAAACGCTACATATCATATTTACATATAAAGTAGAAGCCTAGTATTGTGACAGGCGTTATCCATGTCCGTTTCCACCTCGAGCGTTTACCGAATAGAGAGCCAGGCGAGTGCTCGATGGGACTTCTAGTCTGGTCGGAAGAAGCTGGTCTTTCCGACGATTCCAACGCTGCGTCTGAAAATGAAGATGAAGTGGCAGCCGAGACTGGGTCGAAACTTGATCGAAGCACTGGGCTGACGTTGAAACCTGAGCAGATGGACTCAGTTCGCGATCTCGCCGCAGCCTCGTTTCGTTCATGAGACTCATTTCGTTCGAGTGGGCGTCCGCTCATGACGGTCTCCTGAGGCGAGGAGTTCGTACACTGGTGCATTGTTTACGGTAGATTGATCTCGCTATCTCTAGTCGCTTCGAAGACAGCTGCTGAGGTGGGAAGAGAAGATTGAAGACGGATTGCAGAGGTTCTCTCAAGGCTAAATCTGGTATCAGACACAGCGGCGCAGCAGGTAATCCGGCTGATTTGGGGGCCTGCCAACGATTCGGCCCCACCATTCCTGTAAGTGAGATGATGTCAGCGCTGCGGTTGTACTCTCTATTACTACCATATTATTCGGTTCACTCTGTCGTTCCTGAGTAAAGAGACCGTCATGCCATGTCACAGTGTCGATCAAAAGTGTTGCGGAATGCGTTCTTACTTGAATGGGTACCCCTCAAATGCGATGCGTGCACGTCGCGCCAGAACTCTACAACAGGCCAGAGTCCCATCAACCTGTCATCGCAAAATCTTCGTGGCCTGTCTTCCATTCCGCTATACGAGCGGAGAGCGAAGGCGGAAGGAAGGCAACGGTTTCATGGGGTTCGGTAGGTTTTTGCGACACCGTACGACGGAAAAGAGACAGGCTATAAGCGAAGGGAGGCTGGGACTCGAACGGCGGTGCGGGTGCAGTATGGATGACGTGTGTATGTGTCGCAATCACAGGCGATAGCTATGTATGTACGAAAAGTTCGACCGCCATTCAGTCGCATCACTGCCAAATGCAATCTCCTGGCAGCGGTTTGGTTGCGCAAAGAGAAGGAGCAGTACGCGAGCGAAAGTGGCAACGTGTAAAGGGCCACATGTTGTCGCTGGCTACTTCAGATTAGCTAGATGAGTCGAGTTCTGGTGGGCGCAGTGCTTTTGCGGCACAGGGTGCGTAGAGGAGCAGGCACACAGTGAACAATGACGCGGGCGTCGAGTACATGTCGTTAGCGCATAATTGGACCCTGCCCAGCCCCGCGCTTTCCCAGGGGCCTTGGAGATGACCTGCGTGCCTGCCCACACTCCAACAGCCTCGCATATACCCACACTACCAGCAGCCACAGCCATCGCTTGCGCACTTCCTTACAGTCAGAATTATTTCTGATACTGGGTTATCCCATCAACTAGATCCAGGTGTTGGCCGCTCAGGCGATCATAAATTAGCAGGTACGATGATGATCCCATCCAGCGTGTTCCGCTGGCATGATATTGAGTTACTACACTGGATCCCTCGATGTTGTTTTTTCCACCTAAAGCACCGAGCTGATTCGATTGTAGACATCACTGGCCATGATCCATCGCGAATAAGCCACCCACGAGTTCCGAATCCACACTACACCCTCTACGTTGAAGGTCTCTCGAACCGGGGCTATCGCAACTGAACGAACCCGATCAGATGGAACACCCGACAGCAGCAGAACTGGATTGGTCTATCGTGGCAGAAAGGAAATCATAGCCTTTCAACACAGCCTTCCACCCTTCCGATTCGGGATTGCTACTGAGTTCGCAGATATGCGGCGCACCCTCGACGATAGCAAGGCCCGATGACACACCTTTCATTACGAGCGCCTCGTACGTCCCCTGCAACTGCTCCCAGGGGATCAGGTCATCGCTCGTGCCATGAACAAGGAAGGTCGGCGTCTTGTACTGGCCGCTTACAATCTGTGCGCGTGGGCTGGCTCAGATGATTTCCTCTAATGCAGGCTGTGGGAGAAATGCATCACCCTAGAAAGATGCACACACCTTATACAAGGAAAAGACTGAGCAGGCCTAGAGCCTACATCAACGTTAGGCCACCTACTTTGTAGGTTTCTACGTTAATGTAGGCTGCAGACCTGTTTAGCTTGTTCCTAGGATGACGTGCACAACATGAAATGCATTGAGAGCTCGCACATTTGTATACACTCCGGAGAAGTTCCAGCTAAGTGCTAAGGACTAATCACTATTAACGATATTGTAAGATACTACAATGGTATGGCGAGTGCGAGTGATGCTGGATTTGGGACCTTCGCCGCTGCTATGCTATGGTTGAGTGGGTGCAAGTACTATGGAAGTCACAGAGAGTACCATGGAAGTAGGGGCAAGTACCATAGAAGTGCAGCTACTAGCAACCCGAAACCTCCGAAAAGATTCTGTTAACCTGCACCAAACTTCAGAACCTCAACACAAACAGAAAATCAGCAACGCAAACAACATGAAGTGGACGAAAGAAATCATCCGCGCGCGAAATACCCTCCTCAGAAAGCATTATGCGCAATTCGACGGTCTTCTTGAAGATGGACCGGAGTGGAATACGCTCGCCCGTTCCGGAACAGTATGGGACAAAGTCTACCAGATACGAAATGCAGCACCCTGGAGAGATGCGCAACACCAAATGCGTCGAGAACTTGCATACTTGGATACGCTGCGAAAAGATTTCCAGCTAAGAGCTGAGGACACATCACCATCAAAGACCATGCAAGATACTACAGTGTTTTGTACTAACGTACTTGCCAATTTTTCTTGGAGAAGCTGCGCCATAGAACACAACAGTCTATCGTTAGCGACCGCAAAGAAGGTCGAAGCGGCCATACCATTGCAAAAAGACGGTGGAAGCGCGTTGCTCAACGCGATGAATTTGCGGCTTCCATCCTCGAGCGAGTTGATAAAACTCGACAACGGCGAGGAGTCCAAGGAGATAGAGTATCTCGAACTGCGCAACAACATTGTTGCACTACAGGCTGTACTATCGAGTACCTATATCGAGCGAGCATCAACCCCGGAGAACCTCCTAGAGGACATAAGGATCATATCGAGGATACTGTTTCGAGGTATGCAAATGCCATTCAAGGCTGGCTTAATCCGCCACATGCCAGTCCAGGTTCACTCGAACCCAAAGGCCATATTCCCCTATCCAGGCGAAGTCGAGGCGAATCTGGAGCGGTGGTCGAAGTTTGCTGCGCACGACCAAGAGGGCATACATCCTCTGATAAAAGGTGTATGGGACACTCTGTACTACGTCAGCGTCCATCCATTCCCAGATGGCAACGGCCGAACATCACGCCTTTTGTTCGCTACACACGTCGCCAGGCATGGCATGATCCCTGCTATATGCACCGACGGGCTCTCAACAGAGCAGTACCTTAAGAATGTGCACAGCGCCAGGACAGATGCGCTCCCATGGTGCAAGGATGTGATCCTCGCGCAAATCGACGTGCTGGAGAAACAACGGTGATATCAACCCGCTTAGTATCAAAAGGAGGACATGAGACGTCGAGGCCAAGTCGGATAATGCTTAGCATACCTATGCAACCAGACTGCGACACGGCATACTCGAGGATCCATCTGAGGAAGCTGCCGTTCTTGGGAGGGTGGCGTCCACCGACTGAACAGGGTACTGCCTTCTTGATGGCAGACCTTGTTATGCGGAAGGCTTTGGCAACACCCCAAACAGCGAGCTGGTTTGGCGAGATGCCGCATGACAATTGCACAACGCGCGACGTGCCTACTCAATGATCGAACTGTACATATAGGCACTGGGAAAGTATACGCTCCTTGAGCTTTTCGAGGGATGTCTATCATGTTGCCGCTGTTCATGCTCTGAGTTATAGCTGTGCGTTATTACTGTATCGCCATATGATTAATTCACCGCGAACCTTCCCCGCGTCTCACCCGCTCCATGCCACGCGTCTACGTGCATCTGTCCCACTGCAACCCTCTCACACGCGTCGCCTACCAAGCGAACGAGCATGACGTTGTATGTACACCACTCTGCATCGCGGAAAGCTTGATCGTACACCTCTTCGTCTGAGAAATATCCATTATCCGAGAGATGAGAGATGACCGACCCGTTCTTAGTGAGGCTATTATTCGACTTCCAAGCCGAAAGCGCGAGGAGCTTCAGGTCTCCACTGGCGATGGACAGCGCATATTCTTGCGGAAGGCCTATGAGCATGCCGCAGCGACGTTTATTGCTGTCGAAGACGTAGTATGAGTCTTCGGTGATGGGGCTAGATGTGCTCTGGAATGGGTCAAAAAGCCCTTTTGGAACCTTGGTGAGTTCGAACGCTCCCAGAGGGACACTCATACATTCGAAGACAATCGTAGCTGGCGGGGCGAGCTGATGTGTCGCGAGCGGCCTAAACAACGAGCTTATCGGCCTATGGCCTGGGCGCACAAGATCTGCATATCGAACTCGCCCGATCCAGCCCGACCAACTCCAGCTTGGTTGTTGCGAGGCTGTCAGTCGCCGCTCGATAGTAGTGACTGGAGTCCAAAGTAAAGCGAGATCCAGAAGGGGAGTCGGGAGGCCGCCGACAAAAGGCCAATCGAACATGCGAGTTAGCATAGTCTGAATGCCAGTGAAAGCATTGAGAATATCATCCGGAAATCCCATTTTCTTTGCGGTGTACTCTGCGATGATTTCTTCGTACCAACGAAACTCGTCCAGTGGACTATATGTGCCAGCTCGAGTAGTCTTGGACTTCAGTTCTGCGCTTGTCGTGCGCATCTTGTCCAATGTATAGAAGCTGGTGTCATCGCTGATGTATCTATCTTCGCACAAAAGCTGCTTCTTGCAGTGAAAGTACACCTGTTCACCAAGGAAGTATATGCTCCGGTTCGATAGTAATCGTTCTTGGAATGTCCAGGCGCGCGTGTTGTAAATACAGTCGACGTCTACACCATCGTAGGTGTGATTAGCCAACATGTTCTCCAAGGATGATCGCTCCACCATGTGTAGTCCAGGGGTGACGAAGGTTGCGGTGGTGTTGCGGGCCGTAGGCGGAATGCCGGGTAGGCCGGCGTCGGCGGAGTCTCCGTTTAGAGCCACTATCGTGGCCACGGCGCAACTGTAAATTGCGCACATCTGGGCTAGGGCGCTCGCTTTGTTGGCAGCGTCATCTTGGATGATGCACTGAGTTTGGTAAGTGGAAGACCCAATTTATCGTGCTGAATCCGCCTACCATCGTATCAACCCACAAGTATCGCTCACCCAGGCTCTTGACAAAGGTCATTGCGTCCCTGATGGTTCGGGTCAAAGGCTGCTTGGAAAGAGTTCCGGGCTGGCGCAACTGGTCGTAATTCTCCATCAGGGTCAGGAACTGTTTCGAAGCGCCCCAGACGTAACTCAAGGCGAAATACCGATCCTTGAAATTCCCAACCGCGAGACAATCATCGATAACATCCAGAAGCAAAAGCGGCCCAGTCTCAGTAACTGATGTCTGGTGTTCATTGCAGGCATGGCCGTGATCTTCTTCGCAGTCACCAAGCCAACTCTTGATCAACTCCACATCCGCCCAGTGATGTCTTACTGTCCGACTATACTCTGATTTTCGAACCTTGAAGTCCTTCAATGCCGCCTCACACTCCTGCGAATCCAGGTCATCATCATGTAGAAACACACACGTTGTCAGCCCGTTGAAATCCCCAGGATACTTCCGCGCATCAACCGATGGACTTTGATCTCTTCCTTGTCGTCTCTGGAACTCTCGGGCGCGGATAACATGGCGACAACAATCGCAATAGAGAATAGGCTCGGTCAGATGCTGGTTTTCCTCACATTCTCGGAAGCCGTTGTTCAACCAGGTTGGAGTACCAATGCTAGCGAAGCCCGTACGCTCGTCTTCTTCTAGAGCTATCTGGCAGGGCACGCACAGCTCTCCTCCGTTGATACCATCGTTCAATTGTCGGATCGCGGCGCGGGAGTACGAATTGAACATCGCCAGACATTGTGTCTTGAGATTGAACGGACGGAGTGGCGCGCTGGGATGGAGCCTTTATCACGTGCTTGTGTGCGGGGTACATGCGCTAAGACGAGCTAGGGAAGGCCACGCACAGGCTGCGCAGCACACCTGGGCAGGGAGAGAATGCCCAGTTCCTACAACACTCGCCGATGGCATGCTGGCATGTTCTTCAACCTTTCACCTGAAGTTCACGACACTAATTGCACGGGCTGACATGTCTCAACATTGCCATTCGCGCAGCAGCTCCGTCTCCACGAAACCTGCGAATCGCACAAGAACCTGAATGACTGCCATCTTCGCTGTCTCGACGCAACGTCTCCCATATACTATCATGGACACTTCATCTGTGGAGAGAGCTGATGTATGTGACTTACACGATTAGGCTACCGTCTCAACCTGCGCTCTCCGCACCCAGATTTCCGCTCACAAAAACAACGAGTACAGCAGCGTATCTACAAAGTCATCAGTTGAGCAGCGGCAGTTTTCCAGTCGACTCACCCAGCAGTAGCAGCGAACAGCTCCGCTTGTCGGGCGTTTGTCAGAATGCCAACGTTGGTAGCAAAAAGTGCTGTGAAAAGAGCTATGATGCCGAGCTTGGTTTTTGGGGATTTGGTCGCATAAAGGCTGACGATTGCGCCAACAAGGAGTGCTGCCGCGTTTATCGTACTTAGTATCGTGACACATCTCGCGACACGATGATCTGGCGCATATATTATGTCTTGTCGCACGTTCCGAGGCTTGTGTTCACATTAGCTCGGCTGCTCGTCAAAGTGGGTTGGAACAGCTGCATCGTACCCCGAATAGCCATGAGCAGTAGTCTTGCAGGAAAGCCGTGAGACGATCGCGGTCTTCACCGCGTAACGCTACAAGATCGTGCGGATCATCATACAATGCAGTGCTATTACCACCCAGCGTTGGGTAAGGAGGGCCTGAGCTGCAGTTGAAGAAGCGGTATCGGAAGGCTTCAAGGGTTGTTTTGGTGGGCCGTGAAAGGGTCGCCAGATGGCTCTCATAGAACAGTGCTTCTCCTAGAGCACATCTTAGTCTAAGGCAAAGAGCATTTTGCGCGACTTACTCACTGTATTCCTTGAGTGTCTGCCCTATCTCATCGGCCAACTCTTTCCTGCGCTTTTGTCGGGCATCTCGTGAAGCTGCGTCACAGAACACCGCCCAGTTGCGTGAGTATTGTTTAGTCCCCAGATCTTCCCTGTGCTGCTCGCGATCCAGCGTGTCTTGTTCAGCTTGCAAATCTGACAGATGGCTCTGTAGGTGCAGTAAATGACGGGAAGCCAATCGATTGAATCGCTTGTAAACCGCTGAAGTTTGGTCTGGGTCACTCGCAATAAAGGCTGCAAGGGAAGGGTAGCCAGGTAAGTAGTCTTGTGTCCCAGCTTGCTTTTCGATGTCCATGATGTGAAAAATGTCACGAAGCTCGCCCACTCGATTACTCTAATGCGTCCCGCTGACCGGTTCACTTAGCACCTGCCCTCTCGACCATAGCGCACAATGATGCATGGGCTTGATGCGGGACTCACCGATCGAGGAGCTGCAAGAATTGCTCTATACGTCGTTATTCGATGGCTCTCGCTTAAGCCCGCGGATGGCCTAAGGCTGAGCATGGAGGCGACCAATCCCCAACATATTACATGTCACCTAAGGCACGCTGGTATCCGTGCCCCGCCGAACCCGCATCTGATCGTTTCACCCGAAAACCAAATTGTCAACCTTGAATTTCCATCATTACTGTACGCGTCTTTCTGGGATCAAATCCTCGCCTTGATTCTAGCCACCGCCCCACGACTCCTCACGATGTGCTTCTACGATCAGCACCGATTCGCATGCGGTGATTGGAAATGGGGACATTTCCGCCAGCATTGCGCTAAAGAGTGGAGGATTGGGGAATCATGTGGGATGAAGCTTATTATGCAGACAGTGCCTACGGGTACAAAGTGCAAGCTGTGCACGAAAATTGATACGAAGACGATGAGGCGTTCAGCAGAGGTAGATAGGATTAATCGGTGGCAGCGCCAGCCTTATAAGTTCGCAGCTTCGATAGCAAGGGCGACGGCGATGGTAAGATCGCTAGATGGGGAAATACAAGAGTTGAATGCCGAGTGGCACAGGCGTATATCTGGCGTCGAGATCAATACTATCGACCCTCGACTTCAGTCAAGTCGCCTGCCAAACACGCCTGCGTTGCCAAGCGCCGGAATGGACGCGCAAGAGCACGCTGCAGTTGCGCGGTTCGAATTTCGACAGAAGCGGGAGGTGTACAAAGGACTACCCTTGACGTTCGAAACGCCCTCCGGGCCGGCCACCGTGATGGCAATCCCCGATAGTGGTTCAGAACGCAATGTAATTTCCCGAGACCTCGCGCAACACCTCGGGCTCAAGATATCGCGAGCAGGCTGTCAAGATCGTGTATTAAGCTGCATTGATGGCGGCACCATCTGCAGTACAGGAAACGTGGAAGTCTTTTGTCGGTTTTCCCGGACGTTTCATACTGAACCGCGAAGGATTTATTGTGTATTCCAGGTGCTGGAGTCCGTCATATCACCCTTAATCATGTCAGCTGCATTTTTGGAAAGAACAGAAACGATGACGAAGTATCCGAAACGTCTCATCGAGCGCACTCTCAACGCTATGCAAACACCCAAAGTGTGTACGCTTGGCCGCATGCGACGTCGGCTCCATTGTTCCATCGACGGTCAAAACGCTGAGGCACTACCAGACAGCGGTTCTGATGTCGATATAATGTCCTTAGACTACATGCTCAACCGTGGTTTCATCTGCGAAGCGTCCGACGAGCAGGTTATATTCGCAGATGGCCGAAGAAAGTCGGTTCACGGAATCTGTGTTGTTCAGCTATCTATTGGCAAGGATGGTAGAGTGGTCGATAATCGGCCGGCAGTTGAAATGAACACGCAGCGACAAGAACATTCGCCAAGGACATCATCACCTTCCTCGCCATCATCATTGTCATCATCGTCGTCGTCCGATGCAGGTTTGAAGTTCTTGGAAGGGGGCCCGGTAAGACACGTGATCGAAAGTCGTTTCTATGTCTTGGAGGGCATTGACGTCGACGTACTGGTCGGCGCATCATCGCTCGAGTCATTGAAGGCATTCTCGCACCATCAAGACGCCTTTTTCAGTCCTGAACTCGAGTCACAGTCCCCGGCATTGCATCGCATTAGTCTTGCAGAGCGAGCGAGGAAGCTCGCACGGAAGTTGACTGTGGTAGAAGATAGTGGCCGTTCTAACGGTAAGCGAATCATCGGAATTCCAGGATTTGATTTTGATGCTGAGGCGATGTAGAAGCTCGACCGACCGCCCAGGAGCAGCTGAGCCAGGCTGACCAACGCGAGAATGCGCAACGGGAAAGCGCCGACGCAATTTCTGCAAAGTTGAGCGGAGAAGAGAAGGTGGAGTTTGATAACAAGGAAGAAGCGCGCAGAAAGGCATACGACGATTACCGTGCGCAGCTTCTGAACAGGCCGTCCGGAAGTCCGTAGAATGTTCACACGCGCTACGTCATGTAGCAGCAAGCGGAATGTGCGGTCGTTATTGGCGATTGAGGATGCAGTGCTCGCAGAGTCCTCCTGCGATGGAAGGAGGATGACGCGATACGCACGGGCCACCTACATCAACACCAGCCGCCTGCGAGGAGGGAGGCGCAGAACCATCCACGAGAGTCATCTATCATGACGAGCTAGAGAGTAGATACGCCACGACAGAGGTCACTTACGGTACCTGTAGAAGGCTTCGCATAGAAGCTCGCATCATCATAATGTTGAAGTTGTGCGCGATGAAGCAAAGCGGGCGGCGATTTAGTCACGACTTCCGCAAGAAACAACCACCCTGACCACAGTGGTACTCTCGTATGGAAGTATTCGTAATTATCAGGAACTGGGATTCAGGCACGAATGATAATAAGGATATATAGGGTTTAACCTTGATGCTCTTGTGTGCCATCAAGCATGTTGACCGCCTTTCCTTTCGTGCAGCAATTGTCGCAGGTTCTGAGAACGACTTGTCAGTATCTGAATGCTGGCGTGAAGGTGTTTATACGCGCATTGCTTACCTCCAGCGAAGACCCGTTGGATAGGAGCGTTGTGGCGAGCAGCTTCTTGCGATCTTGAACTTCGAGGATGTGCTATCGATGCGCGTGTCAGTTCACATTTCCAATTTCATTGCGGCATGATTACCTCTTCGAACGAGTCTTCCATGACATAGCGTATAGTAGTCACGGGACGAGTCTGCCCTAGTCGATGGACGCGAGCAAGTGCTTGATCTTCGAGGGACGGGTTCCACTGAGGCTCGAGGAGGTGGACTGTCGATGCCGCGGTTAGATCCAGACTGAGATATTTGTAAGCATGTATTCGTGTCTGCTGGGTATTGTCTTCGTAAACATACCCACAGGCACCACAAGCAATTGTGATGAGTATGACGCGAATACCAGGGTCGTCATGCAGCCGTTTGATGGCGAGACTGCGGTTCTTGGGCGTAATCTTGCCATCAATTCGGACGGATTGAATGACTTGATTTGGATCAAACCGCAGCGCTCTCTCTACCATATCGAGACTGGAAGTCCAGGACGAGAATACGACACTAGCTAAGGGTTAGTCGGTAAGGTGCTTTGAGATCCTAGTAGACTCACTGCTTCTCCTGCGGGCGCGACCTGATCTGCGAAACAAGCGCCCACACCTTGCTTGAGACGTCATTGCTATAGTCCCAATCCATTGATGAGGGAGAAAGGCTGTCGGTAGGGGTAAGACTGGGAGTGGCTAAAAAGGACGCTAGGAGACGGAGTTGACACTGTCGCGGCTGCTCTATACATGCGCAAGGCTCAGGTGATCGATATTGAAGGCTTGCGGAGCACTCTGCACAGTAGAACTTGCTGCAAGCTGAATAATAGACTTGTGGTTGTGTAATATCCCATAGACTGCTGCCGAGTGCCGATGTTTCGACTGGCTGTGAGCACATCTCACATGATCCTCCGTCCATTGAAAAGCGTGTGTTCATCATCGATGTCTTGTCATCGGGATTGCCGGCTTGCGAGGCGTAGTCGGCTTGGGAAGGAGTGAAGACGCCTAGGTTGCAGATAAGACGAAGCTTGTTGATCTGCTGTATAGCAGTCATCCACGGGGCCTGTGTTTGGCTGTCGTCTCCCGTGTTGCGGTCTAGCATATCCATGACGGGTTGTTCTATTTGGCGATAATGTATTTCTTCCTCGTGATTGAATGGCACACGCATCAGATGGTCATCTTTGCTGGGCAGATCCAAGATAGCCTTCGTTCTTCGGATCATCACACATGAGAGTAGCTTCTTGAACGTCTCGCCGGCCTCTTCGACGGATTTTGTACGCCATATGCTCGAAATATCGTCATCAAACACTTTTGGATCGTCGTAAGGTGCGAAATGAAGGAACTTGAAGAGACCATGGAAGTCGAGTAGGCTGTTCTGGATTGGGGTACCCGAGACTGCCCATCTAGAAGTCGCGCGGAGTGCGGCCATTGCGTGCGCAGTAGAGGTCTTGTGATTACGTATCGTATGTGCTGAAGAGAGGCAAAGTCAGTATAGAGGCACAAGATGTGGGGAGCCCTTTGTGCTGACCCTCGTCGAGTATGACTCGTCTCCAGTGGTGCGAGAATATAGAGTCGTTGCTCCGAACGCTCCTGCGATTTTCCCCCTCGAGAGTCTGGTAGGTAGTAAAAACAATGTCTAGTGATGCAGCGGCCCGTCAGTCGACGCACCATCTGTGTACGCAAATGTAACCTACCGGGCGGTCTTTTGTGGTTCTTCCGCTTGAATCTTCGGTTGCCGTGGTGCATGCACCATGTCAACTTGCCGGAATGGACGTGGCTGATGAAGGTCAGTAAGCTTACCTCGTATAGCTTGCGACGACGAACCTCTGTAGCTGCGAATCCCAGACACTGACCACTGCAGAAGGCGTCAGCATGCGTGAAGTCGTAGGATGCATACACTCCTACAGCTCAGTGGCACCACTATCAGAGTCGATGGTATGCAAGTCTCGGATGTGGGGTAGCCTGTGGATGGGTCGTTGTCTGAACGGCGATCTTGGTCAGAAGCAATCAGAGCGATCATGCTCAGCGTCTTCCCAAGGCCCATCTCATCGGCGAGCAATCCACCACTCCACACCGGGCCAGGGGCGAATTGGACTTCACCAGTCACAGCGTTCACAAAACTGAAGCACACCAAGTCTCAGCAGTGAGTCTCGAAAAGATGGCTCGGGCATACGCACGTAGAGTGTCCCGCGCTTGTCTTCCGCAGCCATACGCCAACACCATCTTTGTTTGGATGCATACCTCGTTCGCGTCGCAGGAAGAAAGTCAGGGCTTGTTTCTGATGCCTTTGATTCTAAGTCAGCTTGTGTAACCCTTCCACAGAGGGCTACGCACTCTTTTAACTCGGTCCTTAGAGCTGTCGGGCTGGCCGATAATTCGAACTCATCAGTGGTTTCGAAACGAGACAAAACATCTAGAGAGGCTCGTGAAAAGCTGTCGATGTGTGGTTCGTGAGACTGCAATAAATCGAACGTCATTGGTGGCGCTTCGTGAAGAGTAAAAAGACATTGAGGGTTCATGTAGGGGACGTTGCGGTCACAGCCAACAGGGTCATCCAAGTAGCAACCGGCTTGATTCAAGAAATCGCCCACATCACCGGAGCGGCGTTTGGGACCATATATCGTAGCCCCCACATACTGCAATGTACCCTTGAGTTTCCGCCGTTCCGTCGGGGGTGCGATGGGCGCCGAAAAGAGTGAAAGTTGCAATACGAGCTCGTCGTCGGCTGCCAGCCGCAGTAGCAGCTCGCCCCCATAGTTGTCCAGCCGCGCGACCGGCGTATTGGCACTATCGCGGAATATTGTACGAGGAGGTTCAAATCGGATCGCGTCTGGGGTAGGGGTAAGGGAGGTGGCATGATGGAGGAGACTGTGTGCTTTTAAATCTGATATCTGAGCAAAGGTAAGCATAGACCAATAAGGTGAGCAGGGCACGACTGACCATGCCATAGCATACTAAAGTGTCTTCTCCTAACTCTTCTGTGGTCGCGCTGGCAGACGGTGGTGATGTCTCTGCCGAGACTTCGTGATCAGATGCGAGTGTGACGCTCTCCGCATGAGGGGTATTCAATCGCCGTCGCTTTGTGGCTGGAGCAGCGAATTCATCGACAACGATCTCGGGAAGGCATGTGAGCATACTGCAAGACGCCTGAAGACGCGAAAGACGGAGTCTCGCACATCACCATGTTGGGGGATGGAAGTAAAGAGCTTAGGTGCATGGATACTGCAAGCTATTGCAAGCCATGGGGGCTGAGTGTGTCTGCCTACGAGGCTGTACAAGCATGCACAGGTGTTGTCAACCTTGAGCGTGCCTCCTGCAAGCTGCCATCCATCTCTCCCCTACTCACAATTCCATCATTGTATTCATAAAGTAGCGAGTGTGTTGTGTTCGTAGCCTCTCCCTCCTGCCCTAGAATTCATCGCGCCTCGGTGGCGCGCGCACGGCCCGACCTCGGTACAGTACAATGGCGGCGGCCCCTTCCGCCCAAGCCCGCGTCACGCTTCAAGACGCGTTCGAGCGGTTTGCATCCACCGTCGCGCCAGACGACAAGCGACTGTTCCACAACACCCAGCTCAAGGATGTCCGCGACGAGGCGATACGCATTGAGCGCTTGCTCCGCGCTCGCCGGATGCAAAAGAATATGGCTCGGCTGGACAAATTCCTCCAGGGCATGGAGCATTACTCCAAGGTAGTGGAGGTGCTGTGCAATGGGACGCCTTTCCTGCCATGGATTTGGGCACCAGTAAAGCTGATGCTTATGGTGAGTCGCACGCCTATGCAGTAAATGTCCCATTAACTGTGAAGACAGATCACGGTCGATTCTATTGGTGCATTCGAAAAATTAATAGAAGCATACGGCAAAATTGGAGACATAGTTTCTCGCCTAGATCGTCTCGGCAATGCACTTGTTAACGATCACAACTTTCAGAACGTGCTGGCGCTGGTATACTCTGACATTGTAGAGTTTCATCGTCGAGCTTACAAGTTTGTGAAGAGAAAATGTAAGTACGTTGGCTTTCTTGACACTATGCGATTCTCACCAGCTATAGCATGGTCCATATTCTTCAGTTCTATGTGGGCTGGCTTCGAATCTCGATTCAATGGGATACTGAAGAGCCTGGCGTATCACACCGAGCTAGCCGACAAGGAAGCTGCCGCAGCAGACATCGCTGAATCCGTTCGACGTAGCAAAGCCGATGATGAGAGTTGGGAGCAACAAGAGCGCGAGTGGACTGCTGTCAGTATACACTAGTACACTGTGTTTGAGACACGCGCTGACTCTGTGCAACACTTCTAGGTCAAGATTCAAAAAGTCTTAGCCTGGCTAGGAACGACTGATACCCTCCCAGCCGACTTGCTTCACCGCCACCTCCGAGATTACTTGCCACACAGCTGCGATTGGTTCATACAGCATAAAGCAACTGAGTTGTGGCTAGGAGATAGCGCAAAGAATCCCCTTTTGTGGCTTTGCGGTAAACCAGGAGCTGGTATGTTCAATTGCCGCCGCTGCGGCTAGTCATTTGCTGACCTGCTCAAAGGGAAGTCCATGATATGCTCTGCCCTTGTGCAACACACCGAGCCGAGCGCCGTTCATGTCTTCTACTACTTCTGTAGTTTCCTCGGAAGTCGCTCCGATGGTCCGAGCCGTCTGCTGCGATCTCTCATATCGCAGGTCATCCAAGAACATCAGGATCTCGCCATCTACGTCCATGACGTCTACTTTAAGTCGAATCCTGAACCCACGAAGAAAGCGTTGTTGACACTTCTCCCTGAACTTCTCCGAGGTTTGGGATCCGTGCGGCTTATCGTAGACGGTATCGACGAATGGGCTTCACGGGACCAAAAGGAGCTTCTCAATGACCTTTCGCAGATGATCTCAACCGACCAGTCTTCCCATATCTGCAAGATCCTGGTCGCGAGCCGAGACACCATTGCCACCTCTCGGCGCAAGAAAGACAAATTGTCAACGATGATCTCTCTTAGCAATGGCGACGAAGGTCTTGCAGTCACTCGTGCGATTGTCAGTTTTGTCGATGATAAGCTTGCTGATCTTCCCGAGCACTTCGAAGAGCTCGACCCTGATTCCTCGATCATGGCTCATGTCAAGAAGACTCTGCTTGAGAAGTCTCAGGGTACGTCCCGTTCAATCTGCTGAACGACAATACATTTTCTAACGCTCACACAGGTATGTTCTTGTGGGTGAGCCTCGTGCTGCAATCACTCGATACGGTGTATAGCCCTGAGGAACTACGTACTATCGTCGACAACCTTCCATCTGATCTGGAGGCCCTTTACAAACAGATCGTGACTCGTCTCTGCAGCGCCCCAGGTGCCCAAAGCTACGGAGGCGTGCCGCGCATCATGAGCTGGATATGCTTCTCACGAAGGCCTCTGCACAAATCAGAGCTACTACAGGCGCTGTCTGTGTTCCCAGACGACATGAGCTCTCAGATGCGAAGTATTCCTGTCGCTTCTATTCTTGACCACTGCAAACCGCTTATCGAAGAACTACCTGATTCAACGATAGTACCAGTCCACTTCTCGGTGAAGGAGTAAGCATTTCCATCAGCTGGATTTATAGCCGCTAACGATCGATTAGATATTTCCTGAAGGCTCAAATAACCCAAATCGTTCCAGCAGCTGATATTGCACTAGACATATCGTGCGCATGCGCCATTGTCATCATTCGCGGCTTGGAACTCGTACGTCTGGGAAGTAACTCCACAGATTATCTTGCTATCATCGCGAGTGGCAATTACAGGCTCTTACCATATGCGATAGAGTTTTGGATCGAACACTGCTTGCAATATGCTTCTGGAAAAGGTCTCCGCTCAGGTCATCCCCTTGAACGTCAACTGAACCGGCTGCACGGAATACACGAAAACTATCTGCACATACTCGGTCTTGCTACAACTCACAACGTGTCGTCGGACTGGGCAAACACCACCCACCTAGGGGAACGGCTCAAGCCCTTTCTGAACACACCGATCTATGGCTTGATGGCAGATGTAATGGGTCTCAGACAAATGGCCAGCGAGCTTGACGGCGATCATGATTCAGGTAAGCTCACAATGATATTCGTCACTTCCACGTAGCCACCTCCATGAGCTCACAAATCTTTCCAGAGATTGAGAGTTACGTCATCAACAACGATCGAACGCTCTTCAGCCGACTCGCGCACGTATACGAGAGTGCTGTTGTCCATCTTTTGGCTCAGCGCGAAGTACAGGGTGTTGCGCCGGCCACACTTCGGGCATTCCAGGAATCATATGCCTCCACAGCTTTCCGATGCCGCTTCCCGCATTGTGAGAGACTATCGTCAGGCTTTGCCACTGCGCAACTCCGACTAGAGCATGAAACTGTTCATGTCCAACGCGTATACTGTCAGACAGTGTCTTGTCAGTATCATCGCATTGGCTTTGGCAAGAGGAGTGCACTCAATGCGCATATGCGTAAGCACCATGGTCAAACTAATATTTTACTCATACCAGCGAAGGTACGGCGCATGACACATGCGGAACCCAGGCCTGAGGAGCACCAACAGGATTCGCCAGGTCCGAGTATTCCCCCCAAGTACACCAAAAGATTCGCTGATGCCAACCGGTTCCTGAGCGCGAATCCGGGAGTTATACATGCCACGGATGTCAAGCCTTTCCCTCCCGATGTGTTAAACGCTCAAATAGTGCAGAATCTGCCTCACGATGTGAAGACCTGGAAGCAGCTCAAGGATTGGACGCAACAGAACCCTTCCCTAACTCCTGATATCGATACACAAAAGCTGATGTTACTGCAAATCTTACATTTCCTGGACATGGTTCGACAACAAAAGATTGGCGGGGTTGAGGGAACCCATATTCCGTCGAACGCGCAGGAAACCCCAACGCCTCAGCAAAACCGTCAAGATCAAGTGATCATCAACCAGTTTGCGAAGAAGCTGATGGATACAGCCAAGCCCGAAGTCATACAAAAGTTCGAAACTGACGTCGGTCGATGGCCCGACGACAAGAAGCAACAGCTCCTGGACCAAGGCATCAACCCTCTCTTCTTCCGCTTTCGACAGCATGCCGAAATGATCTACAAAAGAGGGGGTCCTCATAAAGCGGGAGCGGTCAACACTGGTGCCCAGAACGATATATTACATCAAGTCGCCTCGAACGACTCCTCAAGTCAAGGCTTGAATCCCAGTGCCGCATCAATACAAGAAACAGGCGCGATGTCACGCGATCCGAGTGAACCATACAGCAACTTCCAAACCAGAACAAGGACAGACGTGCCAGGTTTTGATGGTCATGCAAGAGTACTACCGGAGGCGTATTTGGATATGTCTGGCACGCACGTAGCCCCATTTACCCAGCCCAAAAACACCACTAAAGACGAGCTACTGACACCCTCCCCGCGAAGCAGCCCATATATATCCGATCAAGACAGCTTTGAGCAAGATAATCCTGCTCCTCTTTCCAGCAGGCCAGCAGACGACAATGTGAGTGTCCACTATGACTCTTGTCTCGACATGCATACTGATACCAGGCAGACCAACGGAGATGACATGACAAGTCTTGAAAATTTCGATTTCGACCAATTTTTGAAAGGGGACCCTGTTTATGATTCCGCTGCGTTGCAGTCACGATCACAGTCTCCTGCAATCTATGGGCATATTTCAACAAGGTCGCCAGGCTTCAACAATGCTCCCGCGGAATTGGATTTGCAAGAGCAACAAAGGCTGTTAAACGAGCAACTTGTGCTGCTTGAGAATCAGAACAAGAAGCCGTGGGGGGAGAGATGGCCATGGATGGCGGAAAAAGATAATATGCGTCATGGTCCACCGATGCAGCAACAGCAAAGGGTACCTTACGGAACGCAACAGACAAACCAAGAGAGGAAACGACGGCAAGAAACGCAGCAACACCGTGATGAATCCGTGGTGATAGAGACGCAGTCGCCAGTGATACGGCGAGAGATCGACAACGATTCCGGCTACGTAGTACTGACGCAGGCACAGAAGGACCAGATGTATCAAGAACAGCTTGCCCTGTTAGAGAAACAAAACCATAAACGGTTGCTGCAGAAATGGCAGGATGAGGATCAGGAACAGAAGACGCAAGAGGAAAGGTGGCGTCACGAGCGGCTCATGCGGCAACAGCAGGGGGCTCAGCAACAAAATGAGGATGACTTGGCAAGTTACGCGGTACCCGACCAGCCAGGTTATGCTGGAGTGTCCCAGAATCCAAACACACAATCAAGCCCATTCACTGGTTGGAACACTCCGCACCTCGACCGAAGTCACCACCCTCCCCAACTTCCGCCCAACCTAGAGCGCAATATACCCGATCATCCAGAGCAATATAGCAAGAGTACATTTGAGCAACTACAATCCCCGCATCAACCATATGGATCAGCGCAACTTCCCAAACTCAACACAACGCAACCGTATTACTCGGGAGCTTTCGCACCTACTGGAGTCATGCGTGAACCTTCGCCACCTACGACTCAACAGCATCCTCACCATACTCGCGGCTCGCTTGAAAGCAAAGAAATCAAGACAGCTTATAGTTCTCTCCCTAGCAAGTACTATTTTAATCATGCAGACGGACCTTCAAGTGTACCGAGTCCGGCGGAGAGACCACCGGAGCCCATCTGGTCACCTTTCAACCTGCGCCAAAACATCGCGGATAGAGGCATCTCCCCAAATAACAACCAGCTGTCTAAGGACAACCGGGAATCCCTTCCTTCTTATCCCGACAATACGTATGCGACCGGTATGCAGTCTACAGATCTGGCACGAATGCAACAGGATGTTCGGTGGTATCCGAAACAGAACGACGTTGTACAGCGCCCGTATGTTGAGAAGGAGCCTCCGACGAGCAGCGGCTCTCAACAGCAAACTCCACCTCCCAGGGTAGCTCGACAACCGCATCAACCGTCTGATAAGGAAATGGCTCACTTGGCTCCAGGACGACTCGTTGTAGATTCCGTACAATCGCAGGACATGCGTCCGTCTACGCATCGTGACACAACCCGTTCGACGCCCGACACTGGAGGTATCGCGCAAAACATGTTCACCTTCGGGTCGCCCAGTCCCAAGCGAGACCATCCTCATGAGGTTTCCGGAGGGCAAGGGGTCGGAACATGGCAGCCACCAGATCCTGCGCAAGTACGCGAAGAGCTTCGGTTGTACGGTGAAATGAATCAGAGTGCGCTGGCGCAGGGCAGGGCTTACCGTCGACCCACAGGCCAACGAATGAATCGTTGAGGGCTGGTTGGGGGCATCGCTCTACCCTGACGAGACGGGTATAACGTTTGTTCAAGAATATGTATATATACATTCCAGCTAAAGCTACCTATCCATCCGTCCATTCACTCATCCATGCTCATTCATATGCCATCGTAAATACTCGTTTCCAGTAAAACCTTCATCGCATCCACTACATTACCCCCATACAGCATAAAAGCCCAGCCGCTGCCATGAACCCTTACTAACTGTTGATCTTTATTCGAAACTCCATTGCCCATGACGCACCATTCATGTGAGAAAGAAGTCGGGAAAGAATGATGATAAGGTACTAACGCATTAACGCCCACTTGCAAAGAAAGGAAAGGAAAGGAAAAGAAGTGATAGGAAAGAAGATGGAGATGGCACATGCCCGTGCCGTGCCCATGCCGTTGTGCTGTGTACGCCCGTGATTGATCATGTCAAGCCGAAGCTTTAAGAGACTTTTATGTATATGCCGTTTGAAAGATGGGAGGGATTAGGGCCGATGTCGTGGAGAAACATGGACCCTGTATGCAAGTTGCGCCGGGAACGCTGAGAATTTTCCAACCTTTTTCTTTGAAAGTGAGTGATGTAGGGGAAGAATGTCGTAGAGATAACGGTCGTGGGGTAGGGTGGGTGGCCTCTGGTGCTGAATTGGCTCTGGGCGTCCAGCTACTTTGTGCGTCGTGGTTTCGTCCGTTAACTCAAGCATTCCCACCCCAAGCACCCGCACCCGTCTCCTTGCCGAGCGCAGAACTACCAGCAGTCCGATGACCACCAACAGGAGCCAGGTTCGGGCTACCCTTTCCGCCACTACCCCATGACAGACCGCTCAAACGCTTGTTGCTGTTGCTAGACGTGGTCGAGGCGCCGTCCCTGCTCTTGTTCAGATCGTCCTCCTCTTCCATGCTGAACAGACCCTGCTCTTCCTCGATCCTCTCACGGTTGATGCTGCTGCTGCTGACTGCGCGGTCGATACCGAGACGGCCGCTGGAGCTGCCGATGCTGGATGCGGAGGTGACGCGGTTGATGCCGGGGTGGACGGGGTTGCTGGTGATGCCGCTTTCGTCACGGGCTGATATGCGGGTGCGCGAGAGTTGCTGGCTGATCATGGACATCGACGCTTGGCGCGGGGGTGAGGCGAGGTATGGGCTCATGTCGCCTGTGGTCGGACGGTTCATGGCGCGTAACGAAGGGCTAGCTCCCGGGTGGAGGCTTGAGTTGCGAAGGGGTGAGCCGACGTGTCCGAATGCCGACTGGCCGGGTAGTGAGCCTGATTCGAATCCTCCATCGTAAGTGGGCCCTCGAGGCTTGGCCCACATGGACTGGAATCGCGAGGGAGAAGCCGTGGCTGCTGATGGTGATCCGTACTTGAGGTCTGACGCTGTTGGCGAGACTCCGAACCTGGACTGCGAGGTGCGGTTGTCGCTCTCGCCCTGGTCGCGCGAGAAGCGGCGCATCTTCTCCTGTGGTGTTAGAAGATCGCTCAACGAATTGGGCAGCAGGTCCTCCTCGAATTTGCCAATCATGTCCGTCTCATCCCATTCCTCGTCCTTGTACGTCGGTCGCGCGCCTACACTCGAAGACATGATGCCCCGAGAGCGATTCGCGGCAAGCTCAGAGTGGAGCATCCTCCGTCCAACTGGCTGCTCTACCGACTCTGGTGGAGACGACCCAAGTCCTGCAATGCCCCTCCGCAGACCATCTCCAAACGCAGAGTCATGTAGGTTTCGTAGCGCGGGCGAATCGGCTTGGTACGAGGACGGCGGGGAGTTTGCGAGGAACTTGGCGGGTACTGAAGACGCAATGGGGCCGTATCGCGCCATGGTCGAGACACCCTGGCTGTCGAAAGACGCCGGAAGTCCCACATCCATCACGCTCAATCCCTTCTGTGTCGGCGATATCGGGAGTCGGCCGTTCTCGTTTGGCGGCGAGCCATAGTTGGAGCCTGGGTGGGAAGAGAAGGTGGTGTCGATGGTCGGGATCATGTCGTACTGGTTCTTCTGGTTCTTCTGGTTCGCGTACTCGTCGGGCATGGCGTACGGGTAGCCTGGCTGCATGCCGCCCATGTGCGCCTGCATGGTAAGCAGCGAGCTGTTCATGGGCATCTCCTGGTGGTGTGGAATGTTCATGCGGCTAAAGTGGTTACCGGCGTTTCCGCGGTTCACGACATGGCCGTTGGGGAGGATATGGGCGAGGGCGCATTTCTGGCCGAACTTGCAGTTTCCCTGGTACAGTAATTAGCGATGATTCACCTCCTCCCGCACATGTCTTACCTTGGTGAAGTACTTGCAGGGCGCCCGCTCCGTCAGCGGCTCGTCCGAGTGCAGGAACGGACACGCCTTGCCAGCCTGACATGCGCCTTGCCGGTAGAACTTGCAGGGGACGTGTGAGGTGTTCTTGTTGTTTGGGGGGCTGCGCGGGCCGGCAAAACCCATCTCGCGCAAGTTTGCCCTATGCTCGTGGCCGTTGGCGCGCCCGCCCGGCACCGCCATGGGCCCATGGCCATTCGCGCCCGCCATTGCGCCGTCGGAGTGCTGGGGCCTGAGGTCACGCGAGGCACGTCTGGCTATCTGCGGCGGGGGGTTCGACGACTGAGACTGAGGCGCGGTGGGCGGGTTGAGCTGATGGGAGAAGGGTCCGTGGTGTTGTCGATGCTGTGGTGGGGGCTCTTGGTGGGGTGGCTTGTCTCGGACGTCTGAGGGAAAATTGGTCGGCGCAAAGGTAGCCATAGCTCTGCAAATTGTGGTAGCGGGCCTCGGGCCTGGGTCGGCGGTCTACCTTCGGCGGAGCAGTGAGAGAATTTCCCTCTGAGCAGCGAAAGCCGAGAAAGAGACTGCTATCACCTGCACCCGTGAAGAGGTCAGGCTTGCCGCGCAAACGCTAGTATCTACGCGGTAAAGGCAGATGCGGCACGTCGCTTGAGGCGGGAACAGGACATGCGACAATCGAAGACGGGAGGACGAATGAGAGCTGCAGCGAGGTTTAGAGGAGGAAGAAAAAGGAAATTCAAAGCTATGCTGGAGAATGATACGCCGGCTATATCGATATGCGCGCACCGCGTGGAGCTGCAGCCTCAGCGGTTCGCGCGTGACATGGAAATCCGACGGCGCCGCGTGACGCCATAACAGGACCCTGGACGTCGACGAGGGAAGTCGCCGTGGAGAGCTTGCACCCACGCTACGCGTCGTTCCTTCCGTGGCTGGCTGCCGACGCGTCTTCGGATGCCCTCCAGCTCACATGGCACCCCCCCGTCTGAAACACCTTGGAACACATCTCGGACGACCATTGCCGTGCACGGCGTGACCGGCCAATCGACGCGGATGGAGAGCTCACGCCTCATTGCAGCGCGAGGGTCTAGCCGTCACCTGAGGCTTCATCACGGTCATCTGCGAAAGAAGTGGCGCATTCAATGTGGACTAACTGTATTCAACTCACGTCTCGATATACTGTTCACCAAAATATACTATGCTAATCTTATCATCGCCATCTCCAACAACATATTGTATACCCGATGAGATGATATCAACCTCGCCACACCCGAGATCCACACTAGCTGTGTCCTATCCGTAGTATACCCGCCGAACAGGTGTTGTTGTACCATTCCATCTGCAGATCATCCATCATGTGCACTTGCGGTATACCCAGATTGTATGTGTAGGCATTGAACTGGATACCAGACAACGCGCGGAAGTCGTCGTTGAAGAAGATCTGAGTGAGGCGGCAGTTGATGTAGCCCCAGCATGCCGGGATAGTCGCGTTTTGTTCTGCGACTAGCACTTCTTGTTGGAGAGTGGTGTCGTAGCGATAGCCCGATATGCGCAATGTACAAGGTGTGAGACCGTTGAGAGCACAGCCGAAGTGCGCAGAGTACGCGTTGAACCAGTAGGCGTTGACTGATGCTCGTGGTCCGGCGCCCAGTTCGCCAGGAAGCATCGTGCCTGCAAATGGCGTGTTGGGAAGGAGCCGCCCGGTCAGAGGCAAGAACATGGCGATGTTTGGTTGCGAGATTGCGGGGTATGGCTCCCACATGTCGGGTACGTATGTGTATCCGTTTCCGTAGAAGAGATGGTGATAAGGGTTCTTCATGCCGCTGGCAACGAGCAGTATAGTGTTGTCATCGTCTCCAGTGACCGTGTCATCGAAAGTCAGCGTGAAGTTGCCCGACTCGCCGCACGATGAAGGTCCTGGTGCATCCGGAATAGCCACGGTCGTTGTCGCAAGTATTGTTGTCTCCAAGGTGGGGGTAGGCAGAACAGCAGTAATTGGAATGTCCTGACGCTTCGCAAGTGACGTCGTACCTTCATCCTCGTCTTCGAATACTGTTGTCACTACCGTCCTGAAACGTCTTGATCTGGATGAGAAGATCTCAAAGGATGGCAGGGCGGAGATGGGTGTCTGGCGCTCAGTCCGTGTCGTCAAAGGTATGGTTTGCAGATCTGATGGCTCTGGTCCAGTCACCGTGGGGTATATCCCAGTCCAGTACGACACCGTTGTTGAGATGTTGGGTGACGGAAAGACGAAGCTAATTGCGACATCCCCATACGAGATTACCTTCGTCATAGCCCGCGCGCTAAACAAAGACGTGGCGTTGAAGCCTGGAGGGGCAGACGACGTCGCTAACGGGGAGGTAGTTGTCGTCAACGTCAACGTTGAAGTCAGAGTGCTTTGCGAAACTGGGATAGAGCTTGATAGTGAGCTGGACACGGTGCTGACGATCGGGCTGGAACTCAATGTGCTTTGTGAAATTGAAATTGAGATCGAGCGTGAACTGGACGAGGTAGTAGCGGACGAAAGGTTTATGCTACTACCAGACGACGTAGAGCTATCGGCCAAAGAGCTAGAGCTAACAGAAGAACTTGTCAAGGTAGCCGAAGTCAACAGCGTAGAAGAGGTAGACGTCAAGTTGAAGCTCAGACTTGACGAAGAATTCGTGATGGGAAACAGTGTGGCAAAGCCGGTGGAGGTACTTGGGCTGAGTATACTAGTCAAAGGCTGACTCGAAGAGCTCAACGACGATGTAGGGCTGGGTGTACTGCTTGGAGCGGATGATGGAGCTGAAGTCGGTAACATCCCCGGTATCGAAATGGAACTCCCGGTTGAGGAGATCAAAGAGGGCGACGAAGTGGAACCTGTCGATGGCACGACGGAGGAGCTGCCTGAGCTGGTGGGAAGAGTAGATGAACCGGAGCTGCTTGGCGACAGGGGAGAAGATGTAGATAGTGATCGTGTGAGACTCGTTGACGGCGGTATTGCAGAACTGCCGATACTGCTCGTCAGGCTCATGGAGGTGCTTGACGATATGTCGGCAGAAAGAGTCGGTCCTGTAGTAGGACTGGGTAGAGACACGGTGAAGCCATCGTCCTGCGTGGACGGGAAAACGAAAGAGCCCCCAGTAGTTGTTGATGTACCGGGGCGGAGGGTAGCCGAGCTACCGGATGGGCTTGTCAACGTTGTAGGTGCACTTGAAATCGTTGATACATTTGAACCAGTCAGAGGCGCCGAAGATGTTCCGCCAGGCGTGCTTGGGAGTACACTGGAGCTCGGATCCGGGAGAGTGCTTGATGAGACGACTGGTGAGAGTGTGGTGTCAGGAAGTGTAGAGATTGTAGACGGCGACAAAATTGGGGACAGCGTAAAGACGGAAGTAGACAACCCGCTACTGATAGTGGCAACGCTCGTTGAAGCAGGAAACGACGGATAAGGTCTCTGTGGTTGATTGATAGGCCGAGGTAAGCTCGATGTCTCAGACGATGTTGGACCTGACGATGGTGAACTTACAGACGACGAGACCAAAGGACTCGACAGAGACAGTGCAGACGTGGTCGATCCCAACGTCGAAGACACAACAGCAGCACCAGAAGAAGGTATACTCGTCAGCCCCACCGAAGAGACAATCGGCGTAACATCCGCCGTCCTAGTAGGCAACGTACTGAACCGACTAGGCGGCGCAATACTGTCCAGCCACTCCGTCGTACTATTCACCACTGAAAAGTAGTACGTGCCTTTTGCCGGATTGGTCGGCGACGCACCAACGAGCGAAATGGTGATGATCGGTCCAGGAACAGTGACATAGACGATGCTGCAGTTGCCATCCACGGCTTGAGCCGAGACACCGGGTATTGCGTTGAGCAGTACGTCCAGGGCAACGTAGCCACCGGCCACGACTATACCGATGAAGGCGAGTGTTAATATGAGGTCCTTGGAGGTTTGCTTGTCGGTCCAGCGTATTCGAGTCAGGGCGACGCAGAAGCGGTATATCCATTGTATTGTGCGACATGGCCACCAGTTGCGAGGCTTGAAGCCCCATCGAGGTCGGGCTGCGGTGGTAGCTTTAGGTCCGGACAGCTGCTTTGGACCTTCCCATGTGCTTGAGATGACCGAGTCTCGTTTGTCTTCTGCACGCTTTGCACGCGTTATCGGAGGAGCCGGCGATGAGCCGGAGGAAGGGCTGGATGTAGTCGTATCTTTGAGTGAGGCGATGGTCGGAACACAGAGCGTTTTCCCGGGGGGTTCTGTTGGTAACTGCCTGCTACCAGATGTATTGCTAGTGGATCTGGTTATGACAGCCCCATGGTCAGATGTCCATGTCGAGGGAGTGCTTGAGCCATTGGTGTCGCTTATAGAGGTCTTGTCTTTCCTCGCCTTATCCTTGCTGCGGATCTTGTTCTTGCCCATGATGAGAGAGGAGATGTTGTTGCTATGATGCACTTGCGAAGATGTTGCTGATAGGCTGTTGTGCAATGATTGTGGTGCAAGAGGTATCCAAAAGTGCTGTTGTGGTGATGGAGGATGGTCGTACGAGGCGAGTGTATAAGCCCGGGTGCGTGGGGAGTGTGCCTGCCATGATTGCGGTGAAAACAGAGTAAGCATAGACGGTAGATCGATGGCCAGAGTGAGGACGATGCGACATGTTTGCAAAACAGTTGGAAAGCGAGATGAGTATTTGTTGACCGTTCTCGGCTCGGGAGTTCGCAGCAGTTGCGATCCAGCATGCAAGAGCCCGCGCGTGACTGATCCCTCGTAGTTGACGCAGCTTGCTCATCACTGGAGGGAAGAGGTGAGGCAACCATTTGCGCTGCTTCTTCGAAGACATGTTAAACTTCTTGTGTGCGATATGTGCAGTACTCTCGGTCAAAAACCCCAGCCACAAGACTGGTCCGGAAACACTAGTGATTTGGCGTCCTCTAACGTCGACGCTTCCAAAATTAAGCTCTTATCTCCCACATTCTGATATGTCCAGCTTCGTTGGCGACTGCCAGCTGTGCGAGGCTACCTTCTCTCTCCTCCTCTTCGCTCGGCCTTCCCCATGCGACTGCTGTGATTCTGCCAAGCGGTGTCTTCTCGGTAGGCCAATTCTTGAAGACGGTTGCCGATGGAAGGTGCACCAGCCTCATTGCGTTGTTCTTCCATTGACTCGCCATGGCAAGTACTTGACCGTCCGCGGTGAACGTGAGATGCGAAATCGGCGTCGTCAGGTTCTGCAAGTCGCGTACCGGCTTCGGTGCCTTCGGGATACCGCCATTCGAATCGTCTTTGGCAGGCTTGACTGAAGGGTCGTTCTCGCTCCATGCTCGCCGGTCGTAGACGTTCACAACGCCACTTGAACTGCCAATGGCCACCCATCGATCGCCACCTATCCAGCTTTCACGTCCGCTCTTGCCACCGAGTGCGATGACTGTAGTACCCACAGCACCCTCGTCGTTCCATCTTCCTATGACGCCTCCTTCGACGCTCCATTCCGTGATCTCTCCGTTCTTGCCCGCAATGCTCATACCAGTGCCGTCACCCCACCATGCGAAGTCAGCAACACCACCTCGTGACTCGACGCGCACCTGTGTCGACCACTGCAGTGTCCTTGCATCCAGGATGTTGATAACGCCGCCACCCTTTCTCGAAGAACCCCGAAGAGCCATGTATTTGCCGTTCGGTGAGAGGGAGAAGTTCTCCATTGTCCGTTGTTCGTGCTGGTGACCGTATACACGCGACACCTTCTCCACTCTGCCGGTCGCGATATTCCAGACGTGGAAGTAGCGTCGTCGCGCGCTGAGGAAAATGCGCGAGTCCGAAGGTGAAGGATGGAACGCAGTTGTGACGAGAGGAGTCTTTTTGATGTGCAGGGATGTGAGGAGAGGGTTCGGGTTCGGCGGGTTGGGGTTGACGTGGTGAAGGTATAGTGTTGAGCTAGGACCGGAGGAGAGGAGCAGCGGGTACGCGGGATGGAAGGAGAGGGAGGTGATGGCAGACTATAGTGGCAGTCAGTGAGAGGAGTCTATACAATGGCGTCGCAATACTCACCGGGCCAGCCTTTGCGACGTCTTTCAGGCGCTGAATGTCAATGGTGCCTGCTTGCACCTTCCTCCGCTTGGCCACGCTTCTTGATGTTTGTGACAGGATATCCGCGTCCTTGAGTAGCTTGGCCAATGGCTGTGTAGACAAATCCTCTTCGTCCACGTCCATGTCGCTCGCAGACTCGTCGCCACTCTCATCATCATCCATGTCCCGTCGGCGCTTCTTGTTGGCCTTGCCTGTCGCATGAGCCGCCCACTTAGGCGTAGGGTATAGCCTCTGGTACTGCTTCCGTAACCGCCGCGCATATTCCTTGCCATTGACCATGTCGTCATCTGCCGTTTCGCGCAGCTTCCTCAGTTGCGGCACAGATGCCAAGCTGACTACAAGCCTCTCGTCGTCGCTGTCTTCCCAGGCGGGCTTGCCATCGTCGTCGTCTGATTCTGCCGCCTTTGCAGCCACGGAGCCCGCGGGCGCAGCGACTGGGCCAGCATCGAAAAAGAAGAGGTCTTGGTCTGCCACAGCGTCGAGGTCTGCCTCTTCTGCTCCGGATTCGTCCGATGAGTCGCCATATGCGTTTGCGGTCGGGTCGAGCGAAAAGTTCTCCAGACCCTGACGGAAGCCCTCAGAGTCGCCAAAGATCATGCGCTCCAGTTCTTCTTCCTCAGCATCCTTCGGCAGAACAGGCTTTTCCTGCTTCTTCTCCGTCTGGATGTCTATGCTCCCATCATCGCTTTCGTCGTCCTGAGCTCCGTTGTTTACAGCCTCCTCCTCTGTGCCAAACCCCTCAAAGTCATCGTCCTGGGGTTCCTTCACCGGCTGCAGTGCGCCTGCATTTGCATCGTCGTCTGAGCCCTCGAGTTCGGACTGGAATCGCGCAGGGTCTTTCGCTTTATCGGGTGCGTAGCGCTGGTGACCACCGGACTTGTGTGGAATCGTCTTTGCGGGCGCCATTGTGGTTTATCGTGAATGTGCAATGAGAGCTGCAGGCGCGCGATCGCAAAACTGAGGGAGAAATTGTTGCAGGGATGACCCTGGTACGCGGTAGGAATAGGCGAGTCTCCGCAGTCAGCACCTCGCAACACCACCACTCACAGTACTCAGCATGTAACACAACAACACCATGGCAGTATCACTGAACTTGACATGAATTATGCTCAATGAATGGACATGAGCCAAATAGATTGAAAACTGGATCGTGGATTCGACGACTTGCTGTATGCGAGTAATTGAGATCATGATCGTGAGCTACTCCCCCCGCAGGAAACCACCTACCAGTTCCAAGGTTGACATCATCCATTGATGGTGTCCACGTGACAGGGCTACTGTGTCAACTCTTTCACGTGTAAGGCGTAGAATGGCAGATACACCGTTCTTCTGTGAGTAATAAAGATCATAATCCATCTCCAACTCTCTTCGCTTCGGACTTCCATTGGTTGACTACTCCGATTCCGACAGGCATGCCGGGCGACGCCAAACGCGGAAGGTATGACTCTGCCCTAGGCAGACACATGAGTACATAAGTACATGCAGGTTTCTTGATTTGCTTCGCAGTACCACTACCTACGTTTCACTGTCGAGTAGTGTCTTTCGTCATTTCCCACAGAGTCATCCAACCATCAACATGCCAGACCCGAACCTCACAGTCTCGCTTCTCAAGCCCGAAGAAGCAGAGCAGTACATGCGCATACGACACGAAGTCTTCCGCCCAACCGTCAACAAGATTCTCTACGCCCGCGGCGAGCCGTCTCAGGAAACCCTCGACAAGGTGACAGAAGACGTTCGCGATGGCATCACCAACAAAGGCATACTCTACACCAAGTGCGTCGATAATTCAACCGGCGACATGATCGCAGGCGCACGCTGGCGCTACGTCAGACCCAAAGAAGAAGGCGCAAAAGAACGGACCTGGGAAGAAGTCGACGCTGGTCTCACCGTCCCACCACCATACGAAGAAAGTGACCCGGAGATGTTCGCGGAACTCTTCAAATCATTCAACTCAAACAAGCGGGAGATTCTGGGGCGGAGACCCTACTATGTCTTAGACACACTGGTTACATTGCCGCAACATGGAAGGAGGGGAGCGGGAAGTATGCTGGTGCGATGGGGCTGTGAGAAGGCAGATAAGGTTGGTGTTGAGGCTTTCCTTGAAGCGAGTCCCATGGGTGCGCCCATGTATGCGAGACATGGGTTCCAAGCTGTGAAGACGGTGGAATTGGACTTGAGGAGGTGGAGTGGAGAGGACAAGATGGATTTTATTGTAAGTCTTTTATTGTCTGGCATTCTTCAGAAGCGGGGCTAACGATGTGAATGATAGCTCATGTTGCGTCCCGCAAAGCAGCAAACATAGTGATTTGGATCACATTAATCGCAAGTATCTTATCGCTTAACATAAAGAGGGTGCAGACCATGGATAGGAAACGTTGTGACTATTCGTTGTCAATTTCACTCATTTCACTAACTCCTGCCGATCGATACACTGCACGTGAATGGCACTATAACACGAAGCCTTCGACGTAGCTACTAGCACCAGGCTACAACTTATCAAAATACCCCACAACTCGCTATCTTTCAGCCTCACTTAAACTGCAATGGCATCGTCTCAGCCGATCTACGGCATCACAGCCTCACTAAAAACCTACAAAACAGAAGACATTGAGTCGCCCGACCCAGAAGATGAATGCTACGTATGCATGCGTCTATTCAACGCAGTGGACAACAAAGACGACCCAAACGAGTTCCCATGCAAAGCCGTAAGACTCTTACCCTGCGGCCACCTCATCGGCAGCGAGTGTCTAAAGATCACGACTCTGAAGCTCAACATGACAACCTGCTCTCTCTGCTCGGCCCCCCTCGCCGTAACATACGGAAGCCCGATGAATTACATCATGTGCCATCTCTTGTCGAATTGCTATACCCAAGCACTATTCGACCACGCACTGCTCGTGGGATCTGTACTAGCAAGCCCACAAGTCGCCAACGTACCCCTGCTAGGACGGTTACACACACAAAATGACGAACAGAAGATGGCTCTACTTTCATATGCCTTCTTCGCACGAGAATTGACATGGGCAGGCGGGTTCTTCTTCTGGCTGTACTACATGAAGCTGGTGTTCGTGTCTTTGTTGGGGTTGAGCTTGCTTTTCTTCTCGAAAGGGCTTCTGATCGGGCTGGATGACTTCTATGGCGCTCCCATTGAAATGGCATTTCTCTCCGCTTTGCTGGGTACGGATTGCAGGGCTCACCTGTCCAAGACCGGGATGCGTATGGTCGTCCAGGCTCTATGCATCGCGATCGACATGAGTGGGCAGGTCGCTATGAGACGACATCCAGAGCATGTGAACAAGCTCGTGCTTATGAGGGCTGCTGCGTGGCTTAGAGAGGCTATG